ACTACAGTGACTTTATAAGGACAGTGGCGACAACTTATCATAATCCGCCATATTGGAGCTAAAAAATTGATTGTAAGATCAATATACTTTGTCATGTCAAATTGTGAGCGTAGAATAATAAATGTCAGTTTCATTTAAGTAAAGATTCTTGTTCAAAACGAACGGCGCAGAAATGATCGTTTAAAGCTTTGCAGAACAACCTATGGGAAAACAAATGCCTCCCAAATTCAAAAAGGTATGGGTATATGGAAAACAGTATAATAAGTATGAAATATGGTGCAATATCCAAAATGTACATATAAATAATCATTAAATTGTCTTTGACATTTCAGTGTCTTCTGTCACTTCTTGTCCCCTGTCGCGTGTTGCTCCTTCCGGACTTAAAAGTATTTCTTTAGTCTCTTAAATGGAAGACAAAACACGTTGATCTAGTCCACGGAGTACAAGAGATCAATATTCCATGTGCTCCAGCAAACATGAAACCAATTCAAACGTATTTACGATCACAATTGAATTTGCTGCTAAATTTCGGATAAGCTGCTTCTCTAACCAGTTTTCTATCTAAACTCATTAGGTATTTAGTGCTTCTGAAAAAAATTTTACATCAATTACCAGTCGTAAGGTTAGGCACAGTTTTACATCTAAAAACACTAAGCGAATTACATACCTTATAATATCGTAATAAATCCAAACTATATGCGTCTTTAAAAATCGAGTTTATATAAAACTGGAGACGGAAAACGTAAAATAAAGCAAATACAAGAAGCAAAGTGTAAACTAGTAACATGAAGCCGTGACAATTATAGGTGACACTGTCAAAACAGTATAATTAATAATTATAGCACGGAGTGCACCGCGTCGTTTTGAAGGTTTTCTATTGGCCAGTTTGGAATTTAGCTCCAATATGGCGACCGGAACCAACGACCAATCAAAAACGAGATACCCTGTTGTCGCCACTGTCTCTATAAAGTCACTGTAAGTAAAACCAATCACTCCAATATGACGTCACATCGCATATACCAAGATATCTACCTCTATCCGACGAGAAAATTGGACTATAGGTGGTATTAACAAATATTTGCAGTAGAACTTTTCTACTTATAACGTTTATTACTACTGCAATTTAAAAATACATTTTTAGATTTAAAGTTTAGACAAATATGGCACCTGAAAATCAAGGCACATTTCACTTTGTTTCTATAAACATTTCTACACGATACATAACGTTAGCTAATAAACAAAACAATACAAATTTATAAGTACCAAACGTCTAATAAAATAAATACATTTTACAAAGTTCATTTCAGTAAAATTACGGCATATAAATAAATATCTTTAATATGTATAATAAACAAACAACTCTGTCAAATGTTCAGCACAGCCCTACACACTTTTACATGTTTGTAGTCTTTGGTCATCTGATTTATAAGGGAAAACGTACTGTTATATGTTAGCAAAATGCATACCTTTAATTACTTTAAATGACAAAAAATGACTAGAAAAACATACTTGCAAATCACCGAATTCTTACTTGCAGATTGAGCACAAGCGACTGATGGCCGAACAAACATACTACCGGCAATCTGCAGCGGATTTTTGGTGTTTGTTGCAGATTGTCTTGCTTCAACCGCAGCAAGTGTTCCAGTATGTCCGGCCATCATTCAACACAATAACGCCTTGAGCTAATTTTCGCATTTAAAACAATTGAGCAACAAACTAATTGAGTAAAAATACTGTAGGTTCTATAAAAAATATTCACAATATACACGCTTGAACTTACAGTCTAAACTGGTCGATGTGTTACTCGTCATGTTTAAGTTCACTTAGGCTAAAAATGCTACAACTTACGTCCTCTAAAAATTACTCGCTTAGATTAATATGTACAAATTTAAAATTACAGTGCACATTAACTTAGTGGTTTTGTACTGAAACCTCCCCTTCCCTTACAATAATCTTTCGAGGGAGGTGTCTGTCCGGACCACGGATTCGGATCTGAACTGGCGCCGCCGTCAGAATCGCCAGTCGAGGTATCGCGATGTCGACTTGTACTAGGAACTAATACTGGATGGGAATAGACAGGTGAAATAATTTGAAATGGGAAGTTTTGACTAGACACTGGCTGACCAACTTGAAATTGCGCAGCGGAACTGGACACGGGGGCGTAAGGCATCGCTATTATTCTCGGTTGTCGGTTACGTATGCGAACGATCCCACGTACGCCCGAATGCCATCTTTGCACTAGAAACTGCATCCGAATCATCGCCATAATGCAGGCAATCACCGCCCTAAGCAAAAAACAATGTATTTTGATGATGTATTGTTCCATAGTAATTATTTTTGGAATAGGTTATGTAGATAGAAAAATACGAATTTTTTCTTCTTCTTTTTTTTTAATGTAAATTATTTGAGAAAAAAAAAATAAAAAATTCGTATTTTCTATCTACATAACCTATTCCAAAAAACCAAGTACTTGCACGCACCGCATCAGTAAACCTACCTAAATCGTCTTCTACCGCTCAATCTCGCATAGGCCGGGGTAACTGTCGCGCTTTCGAATGGTAACGGATGGTTTTGGTAGGATGCGAGCAAACTCACAATGTACTTCTTCTGCCACACCAACGCTTTTCGATAGCTCTCCGATCGTAGAAATTTCGCAAACAACTGATTGGCCCTCTCGACAGGATCATCGAAGGGGAATTTCACGTGATTTAACTCCTCCAATTCCATAATTCTGTTTTGCAACGCGGACCTCTCGGTGTTGAGGTTTGTAATTACTTTCGCCATCTGCTCATTTTCCTTAATATGCTTTTGCACCATTTCATTCAAGTCCTAAAACAATAATCCAATTTTGAATAATTTTTTGGTAAGTACAATAACATGTTCACAACTTTCCATTCTGAGTGCCAACTTTTTGCTTGTTGTACTTTTGATCGGTACCAAAGACACTTTAGTTAAATGTGCCTTTTTTATACGGAACACCCTGTATATTAATATACCATATGACAGCTCATTACATTCTCTACAAAAGTTCTTAATGCACCATAGCCAAAATACTTCAAATAATCAAGATCTTCAATTATTTTCATTATGATCTAGTTATCCACAAAAACGATAAAAGGACTTACATAGCATTTACAACAATAACTGGAGCTAGGACTTATTACAGTAGGTTGTTAACAAACCAAAAATAACAGATGAAATTATGCTTATGTTAAGAAGGTGTTCAAAAGCGTTTCCATTTTCTTCAGTACAGAGCGCGTAAAAGGCTATTTTCTAGGAAATAAACTTAAACAGTACGAAATATATTTCAAAATAAGCTGTCCAATGCTTTACAACAAAGAAAGTCATTTTACAATTTTCATGGATAACTAGATCGAAATGAAAATAATTGACAAATCTTGCGGTTATTTGAAATATTTTGGCTATGGTGTATTAAGAACTTTTGTAGAGAATTTAATAAGCTATCATATGGTACAATAATATATACAGGGTGCTGCATATAAAAAGTCACATTTTTGTTATTAACTTAAAAATGCGATGTTGTATTGTTTTTTTAATAACATATTTAGGACAAAAATACACAATTTTGGTCATTTAACCATGTTTCTAACTCTACAACTACGAAAGTTACCAATAGTGCCGACTTAATTTGAACCAGACTGTATAATAATAAAATTTAGATGATTAGGTATGGAGTAATAGGTGAGCGCTTTGCCGTTCCAAAAAATGGGGTTTTGAATTTGTATTTTGTTCAACATAGGCAAATTTGCACCCACACCGCTTCATAGCGAATGTGAACAAAAGTACGTCTGGAAATAAGAGATATCAACGCGTGCATTTTTCATAAATTAGACTTTATAAGAGCTAGTATGTAATATTTGTGTGTGAGAATTTTATTTGAGATTATTTGAAACTAATTTCATGAGCGGTTGAACGTTGCTACTATTATAAGAAGCTGTTATTAATTGAAATCCGATGGTGACAAAGTGTGAGTTACCTGCAAGTTTAATTTTATGTTATAACGGAAGTTAACCTAATTCGTAGCAAAGCCGTTTATATTCGAAGGATAAGAACCTACTCAAATAAACAATTCCAAGAAGTAGGAGCTCTTTTAAAACCAAACTGCGTGTAAATGAACTGACATTAAAACTCGTGATAAGCAAAGAGGTTTTTTTTCAGATCATCAAGCAAGTTCCTCAAAGTTGAGTGACGTCATTGGACAGCGCTTTGTGAGATAAATAAAATTTTGTATACTGCATAAGGTAGGGAATTTAAAGACAATTAATCAAGCATTTACCCACAACAAAACCTACTTAATAAATTGGGCAACATTAACACAGTGGAAATTGACTTTTATTTCAGTGCACAATCACTATCTCGAGTATTACTTTGGCGAAATTGAGGCCGGTTTGCTTGGATTCGTCTGTTTTCATATTTCTAAAGGACGCGGCATTTTCCGAGGAAAGATATGATCAATTTATTACTAGAAGGGAATATTACCCACGTCAATAACTGCAAGTGGTCGGTTATTTTTAGGAATTTGAATAGGAAATTTTATTCCAAGTAGTTTTAATATTCCTACAGGAATCGACCTATGAGAATCATTTGCATGAAACAGATTTATTACTGCGTTTATTGATAAGAAGGTGAATTTTAGATAAGATTTTATTTGCATTTGGGTGTTTTTTTTATAAACCAAAGCAATATTTTAAGGAAAATAATAAGAAAAGTGGAATTTGATCGCTTTTATTTTAATTAATATATTCAATTAATTCGACATCAAGCAAACCAGAGCATTAGATTTTGAATTTCAGGCTTTCAGAGGAGATGAAGGGCGAAATTTCCACAAGGTAAGGGGTATAAGAACATTGTTGATTACTGAGCTAGCCGTGGTGCATAAAAATTACATTACGAAGTATTATTATTGTTTACAGTTTACAACTTGTCGAAGATAGATGGCTCCACCCAATTTTACCGCGCAGTATGACAGCGCATTTTCTTGCCTTGATTTATGGGTGTCCACCTTTTCTTCGTGAGCCGCATGGAAGTACACGTCGATTAAAAAAACGGCTGAAAACGTAAGGTAGAACGCATGGAATTCTAACTACCATCTTCCGAATATACATTGATCTCTGGCGATTGAATTCTTAATTTGGGAATTCCGAAGTGATTAGTTTGGACGGGATTCACCTGTACTCCCAGGGGAGGTTTTTTTTTCGTTTTTTTTTAACCCTTCGGACGTAAGTAATCGACAATCGTTGTTTCATCTACGATTAGCTCTCTTATCTAAGAGGTAGGTAAATTTTATCTCATCAAAGAAGGGGGGTTACCCTTGATTTCTTTTAGGGTTCAAGTTCCAGATATGTTTTACGTTACACACCCATATTTGTTCGACATATAAGTATAACCAGCCAAGTTTTCGTTTACGTACAGTTCTCATCTCAGAACCCTGGATTAAATTCACCTCTACCTACGAGTGCAAACGCTCTTGGCTTACCTCAACATCTGCCGCACCGGGCGGCCATTTTGCTGCTAAATCATTAACAGAAATAGGGCACCGGGTTATGCAAAATTAATAATACCCATGTAACTTCTGTGAACCTTTAGCGTCTTAATCGATAACTATTTTACCCCTTCAGGGTTATATGCGATTATATTTAATTAATTGTGAACATTCGTAACTGATCAGTATTCTTGTAATTTCTGTTATTATGATCGAAGTTGTTGGAATCCACTCCTGGATCCGAGATTGAGTTCACTTCTTGGCATCAACGTCCTGTTTTATTCAAGGTTAGCGTTGTCTTATATTTTAACTTGTACTTGGCATTATCGGTACGATTTTTAACCAAAATGGCACTTTACCTGTGGAGAATCATTGTGGGAGTCAATAATCAGTTTCATCGATCATTATGAAATCGGAATTCATTCATTTGCGAAGTTAATTGTGAGTCTTATTTGAAGTTTAACGTGCACGTTTGGAAATTCATATATCGGAACATTTTTAAATTTGTGGAGAAACAATAATTATTTGTGGAGATAATTTTACTTGGTATTAAGTGGAATAAACCAGTATTTCAATTGTTACTTTCCTTGCAGTTTCCTAGTTTTTATACAGGTAGAGTTTAATAAACTGGGTGGCGCTCAACTAATGGTAAGTTGTGAAGATGAGAGGTGCCCCTTCCCCTCTCAGGTGTACAAGGCCGTCGATGCTAATCGGTAGTCGATACACAGAAATCGGTCGATACGAAAAAGGCGACCCATGGAAGATGCGACAGGTGATTCAACACTGCACAAATGACCGTTCCTTGAGGTGGTAATTATAAGAACATAAAAATAGGGAATAACCAGGTAGGTAGACACAAAATGTCAGGTAACAGATGAAAAACTAATGCAAATGCAAGACTTACGTTTTGGACCGGCAGTATGAATTCCATACCAGACTCAAGTGTCTAATTGCCATCCTTTTCTAACAAGTTGTAGTATATGTCAGACCGTAAGGGACACAGTGTACAGTAAGCTTATTATTACGATATACATCGATGAGTCATACCCAAGTATATTTGAGGCTGCATTTCCACAATCACAAAATTAATTAAAATTGCTTACCTTCATTTTATTTAAAAACTGATCCGGAACAGTCTTCTTCAACTGATCACCCTGCACCTCCGCCATCAGCTTCTTTTCCCTCTCGATGGCCTTGGCAAACTTCTTATTCAACTTTTCGATTTGCTCCTTCATCTGGCGCTCCTCCGACTCCAATTCGCCCTAAATTTTAACAGCATTACTACAGGTCAACCTGCGCGCAAGAACTTACGATTAACGCGCGACTATTCTCGAGCTCCCTAGTTTTATGCTCCAGTTCGACCTTGCACGCCGCCCACTTCTGCTGTACGTCCACCTCGTCCCCCTTCAGGCCGCCGATGTGAGCTTGTAGTTTTTCGATTTCGGAATTCTTAAAGTCCAGCATGTCCTTGGTGTACTTTAAGGTGGCGCTGTTCTTCAGCTTGTCACTTTTAAGATCTTTAACGGACGAATGTAGACAGGCAAGCTCTTCCTCTAGCGTTTTGACTTGACCCCGTAATCGATTGAGCTCCATCGTCTCCAAAGTGGGCAGTGACTTGTACTCGGTCACTTCAGTCTTCGAATTCTCTCCGGAACTAAGACTGTTCAGTTTCCGCTTCAAACTAACCACCTGCTCCTCTAGGTGAAGCCGAATTTGCTTCTCGTTATCCAACACGTTGGCGAACGCGTTCTCGTTATCCAAAGCAATCCTGAGCCTCTCGCGCAGCTGCTCCAACATATTCGCATCTGCCAACTGCGCCTGTTTTTCATTGGCCAACGAAGATTGCAAATTACTAATCTTCTCCTCCGCGTCTCGGTACTTAGTTTGAAGCTCGTGGATATTCTGCTGAAGAACGCTGTTTAAGTTGTTCAATTCGGCTCTGAGCGCCTTTTCTTTAGCAATATTCTGCCTGAGCAACCGAAGATCGTCTCCGTCCTCCCTATCGCTGTTCTCAAGCGCGCTCAAGATACTCGAATCCAGCTCGGCCGAATAATCCAACTGTTTGCGAACTTCGCCCGTGATTTCCTCGATGGAGGCCGTCATATCGACTGGTTTCGGATTGGCGATCTCCGCTTTCAGTTGCTCCTGCAAAATACGATTTAGCCGTCTCTCCTCCTCCAAGCGCCGCCTCAGATCGAGCACGTTCCCAGATTCCTTCATTTTATTTTGGATCGTTTCCAAATTGAACCGCAAGCTCTTGCTGTCTTCGCTCATTTGGTCGATAACCTTCTCCTTCTCTTTGAGTGCCTCGTGTAAATTGCCGGCCGTTCGGTTGGTATCGTCAAGTTCGATGTTTAGCTTGACAATTTCAAGGTCTTTAGCCGCTATGTCTCGAACATGCTGCGAAAGTTTCAATTCGTGTTCCTGATTCGTGGCCGCCTTGTACGATTTCAGTCTGTCTTCCAGTTTGGAAATGTCGTCTTGGTAACGTTGAGCGTCCTCGTTCAGAATTTCAATTTCAGTTTCGCGATCAATCAGTAGATTCTTCAAGTCTTTTATGTGAACCTCAAATTCAGAAGCGAGCTTCTTCTGTTCGTCCTGCAAGTCACGCTGAAGCGCTTCCACTTCTTTAGTCTTAGTTTGCACTTCCTCGGATAGTATACGTATCTGGGATTCCTTATTAGCCAAATCCTTTTGCAATTTCTCTGTAATCTCCGTCTTCTGCTTCATTTGTAGTTCGAACTCCTTCAACTTTAATTGCAGTACAGAAGCCTTACTTTCGAGTGCTGCAATTTCCTCTTGCTTCACACTCACTTCGGTTTCCAAAGCTTGTACCTTTGACAGTGAATCCCCCATTTCGGTAATTTGCGATTTTAAATTGGTAATCTCCTCAGTATTGCCACGAAGCTGCTCCATTTCATTCTGCAGCTGATTAAACGCCTTTTCCAATTCTCGCTTCTCCTTCACCAAGTTGATGTACATTTGGTCCTTGCGAACCGAATCTTCTTCCGCCAATTGCAATTGCTCATCTCTCTTCATCAGCAACATTTTTTTCTCAGCGATATCGACGTGTAAGCTCATCTCAACGTCTTTCATATTCTTTAGCTCGGCCTCAAAGTTCGACGAGGCGTTCTGCAACGCGTTCTCCGTCTCTTCGAGCTTCTCCTGTAATTTGATCACGTTCGCCTCTAACTCCGTCAAAACGTTCAACCGGTCAGAGTACTCCCTAATCAGCTCGTCCTTTTCGAAAAGCTCGTTTTTCTGCTCCAAAATTTCGGCGTGCAATTTCTCGATTGCGGCGTTAAACACCGTATCCTCGAATTGCACGCGTTTTTCGGTCGACTTGTGGATCTCTGTGCTGTTCGGTTTCGGAAGAGACGAATCCAGTGAGAAGAAGAGGTGCGGCTTGCCCACCCTTTCGATCCTGGAGATTTCGGGTTCGAACCGACTCGCAGGCGGTACCACTTCGGTCTCGTTCGCCGCCTGCTTATAGGGAATGACATTAATCGAACCGCTTAAACTTTCAGCTTGTCTCTCGACTTTTCGCAGTCTTTCCGGCGAGTCTACATCAACAAGGGAGAGTATATCGCTGAGGGCGCGCTCCGAACTGGAAAGTCGGCTTAACGTCTTCAACTGTTCGCGATCTAAGTTCAGAGAGAGATAGTCGTTGAGCTGCGTTTGTGTCTTGTCTAATTTCTCCTGCAGCTTTTCAATATCCTTGTTTTTATCGGCCAAGATGTTGTCCACGAGGTTAGGAAGCACTTGCGCGTTCTGGGCGTCGTCGTTAATACGTTTCAAAAGCGCCGCATTTTCGGCTTGCATCCTTTTCACTTGGTCCTGCAGCTGGCAAATAACGTCGTCGTCGACCTTCGTATTCAATTCCAACTCTTGGTCTTTCAATTTCTTTTTCGTTTCCTCGACGGTTTTGTTTAAATTCTTCACCGTCTTATCTCTGGCGGTGATCACTTCCATTAGGTTCTTGATCTCATTTTCGAGATCGTAAATGCGAACTTCCAAAGAGGTGTTCGTTTGTTTTTGGACTTGTTCGGCACGAAGACGTTGATCGTCTAACCTCATTTGAAGAGATGATATTAGTATAAGATGTTCGGATACCTGATCTTGCAAAATGTCACGTTCATTTTGCACCTCCTGAAACATTTGATATGTCAAACCCATCGAATATGATCAAATAAACTGAAGAAAATTGCAAAATCTTTTTATTGCCATTATTCTTAAGTGAACAAGATTACATCTGAGATTACTTGTGGTGGAAGAACACAAGCTACGCCACTGGGAATATTTTACCGCGAATCTTAGCAATTCAAATTGCACAAGGACGAAGGTTTCGCGTAAAAGAGAGAAACTTTCCCTTGAAGCAAGAATGTCGACACAACTACTTAACTACGGTAGTGATGGTGTAAGTGCGTTTGTTTAAGAAGTCAGGTACTTAATACGTTTTGTTGAATTCTTCTCCGCCGGGGGGTAGTTATGATACCATGGCCCAAAATCCTAAAAAAATCGAAAAAATCAAATAGAATGATATGACCTTTTCTTTATTAAAAAGTATAACATCCAAAGAAGCCAGTGGAAACCGTTTTTTTAAAATCTCGTTCCTAACCTCAAATATTGGGAAAATGAGATTAATTAATTAATTAATTAAAATGTTTAAATTGTATCTTAAATTTACTTTTTACGTATTTCCGGTATTTGTCGATGGTGCGAATAAAAACCACCCTACACTTTTAGGTAGGCCATGAAAAATTACACAAATGAAACACTATGCATTATAAAATAATAACAGCCGTAATTTGTAAACTCATATCATTTGTGGACTCATATCATATCATTCCATTCAATTTTTTTTATTTTTTTAGCATTTTGGATCATAGTGCCAAAACTAGCCTTCTGGCGGAGAAGGATTCAAATAAATTAACTATATTTTGGTTGATTCTTGTTGCCCAAGGAACGCTCTTTTCAACGATACCAAATATGTTACAATCGGTCAAACGGTTAAGAAGTTAAAGCAGGTTATTGCAAAAACAATTGAACGCCCCACGCCATCTTTGTTTTTGAAATAACTGACGTTTTGTTTGTACGAAAATGATAAATAAACTGGTTCTTTTTAAAATGTGAAACAAAATGTTTAGTTTATTATGCGAAATTTAAAGAAAATGCAATTTTAAAATTTAAGATGGCATTTACGCCCTCTGGTGGTCATTTTTAGAACTTGAAAATATTTTCCAGCTATTCTTCATAACCGATTTACCCAATAATTTTTTTAACCCCAAGTCATATGACGAACAGTTCTCGAGATGATATGGGTGGTTCTGTTTCTCAGTGTGTTGGAACTGTATTTGGATATTGTAACCCGAAAACTGTATTTTAAGCTTTTCTTGGTAGCTGCTTAATGTTTGCACACCCATGTGGATTTTGTTTATTCGGACATTGTGGTCCAATTTTGATAGGAATTTATTACCTGATTTCATGTGTGATTATATTATAAATTTTATTTATGTAACATATGCAAATTGTGTGTTCATTCGATTCCTTTAACGACGAAGAGAGAAGTCTTATGCCCAATTAAGATTAATGTTATGGATTCACGCCAAAAGTTCATGTTTGTCAACATTTTGTCATCTGACCATTAAATTTAAGGATTTTGATCCTGGCCATTGTTTTGCTTGGAATCAGGAACTTAAGGTCAGAATTGAATTATTCTGGTCTGCCGGGGTGCGGATGTGTAGCGAGAAAAAACCAACTAACTAATGATTATTTTTGGTTAACGGTCACTGTAATTTTTGTTTGAAATTCGCTGTAAAATCTAAATTGTAGCTGTCATTTCGTTCGGCGAATTATCAATGGCCTATTCGTTCTAGCCGTGGCGGCTCATTCTTTGCTGTGCATTTGCTCTTCCGCATTCTAGTTACGAGCGTATGATTCAACACGATGAAGAAGAGTGTAGTATTAATAATCCATGTGGGTCTAAGTGAACAAATTTTTGAATATTGTGTCTGATGGTGATTAACCATGTTGTTGTGCAAAGCATCGATATAGTTTGGAAACGAGCGAGTTATTAATAAGCTTCTGCCATTGGAAGGTCACACTGATTTAAATCAATCGTTGCGGCAATATCATTGTTTTATGGGTAACCCTCTTATTGGTTAGAGGTAGGTTGAGAGCCAAGGTCGCTATTAAAGATGAAACCAAAGCTCTCACGTTTAAACCGTAATTCCATGGCTGCCTACGATTGAAACCAAATTCATTCGTTTATTGTCTCGCATAGTCACCATCGACACGGCCATGGAATTATTGCCATAAGAAGTATATTGTAAACTTCGAGGCAAAAATCCAAGGTCGATTCCCAAATAAAATATTAAGTGTTTAGCATAGTTGATTTTGTACTTTTTTCTCTATCGAATGACATAAAAATCCAATATGGCGTCCATAAGAAATAAGAAAGTTGATGTGATTAACTCGAAACCCACAAGTGATAAAAATCTTGTTTTAGCACTACGAGCTAGAAAGCTGAGAAAAAATCACAAAAGGTTTGTTAAAATAATTTTTTGATATCTTTGAAAATGAATGAACGCCAGCGCATTTTCGAAGATGACATTTTTCGGTACAGTTAGAAGAAACTCTGAAAGGGAAACTTAATCTACATAAAATTCTGCAATTCTTCGCCAATTTAAGCGACTTTGTATCTCTTACAGTTTACAAGATCCCCAAACTAAACCTAGGAAAAAACTTACCCTGTATAGAATTTCAAAGTCAAGTGTAGTGGGCATAAGGGGAACAGAGATAAACAAATAAAAATCACCGTAACGTCATGTCATGACAGCTGCTACTGTTCGTACCATCGAATAATATACAGTGTGACGTTTGAAAAACCAACTTTCTCAACCTTGAAAATTATGAAATTGGTCATTAACTTTAGGACACACTGTATGTAATAAATCAATTATTGTCAATGTGGATTTCAAAAGTATCCTTCTCGTGCTTCCATCTACCCCAGCAGCGCTTAAAATCAGTTGAAGTTTTCAATCTTTCAAAATGAAAAAAAAAATGAAGATAACTAAAAAACAGTTGACAATATCCATATGGAAACCTTATGAAACTCATCATGAAATTTTCCCAGAATTGCAAAAATGAAGTAATCTATAGGGTGTTCCATTTAGAATTAGCAACTACCAGTATAAACGGAAATGTGACCAACTTGAAAATATTTTATAAAATAATATGAATTCCTCTTATCGAGGATTAGTATATCGTCAAATTTTTTCAAAACATTCCAAGGTCTTTTCTAGATATAAATAGCCAGCGTTCGTTGCGGGACACCCTGTATGTTAACTTAAGTTTTCAAAAATCTTCAAAATGTTAATTTAAAAAAGGCAATTGTTGAATTCTCATGGTACAATTAACAAAAATTTTGCAAAATTTTCCCCAAAACACGAATTACACCGTTAAAACTAAAAACCTTACATTTAAGTCGTGCTTCACACTATCGACCTCCATTTCCAAATCGTGAATCCGTTTAACCGCCGCGTCCTCGGCTCGCGAATGCTTGATGAGTTTTTCTTTCAGCCTTGCCAACTGCTGTAGGGGCAAGTCGCACTCGTCCAAAACGGATGGTGTTCGTGGTCGAATCTTCGAATTAAAAAGACTTGCCTAAATTACATACAACTGAAGTAAATACCTGATCTCGAACTGACATGTCTTCCGAGGGGGAACTGCAATTGGTCGTGGAAATAACGAAAAGCAACCCTTCCAATTCGCGAGTTCTCTCGTCGATTCCAACTTCAAAATCGTTCAGCTAAAGTGACAATGTTATTGGAGTTAAGAATGAAGTGAGTATGACCAACCTGTAACTTCAATTGTTTTAAGGCGCCTTCACTACCAGCGAACTCCGAGTGCAGTTTCAACCTCTGCACTTCGTCTTCTAACCGATCAATGTGTTCTTGCAGACACTGACCATCCAACTGCTTCGTTAAGTCTTCACTCCTCGCAGTTTGTTGTGAAATTATTTCTTCAAGTTCCGATATTACCCCGGTTAGTTTGTCCTCACGGGCGGTCTTCGCTTCGACTTCCGATTCCAAATCACGAATTATATCGCGCAGCACGAATATTTTCTCTATAGCCTCTTGCTTTTCGGATTCTATTTCATTTTGCTTAAGTTCGCCTGCCTCGATCACTTTGGTCATGTCGCGTATTTGCATTTCGAGTCGCTCCACCTATATATATCGAAGAAAATAATTAGCGACAACCCTTAGTCACGCCGAAAATTTACCCATGTTGAAATTATCACACATTAATTGAAGGTTATACGCAGAAGTGATTATTGAAACAGGAAAGCTCCAGTTGCATTTGCAACCGATTGCCAAAAATAACTTTAGTTTAAAATTAGCCACCCTCCTCGTCTTGGCTTTATTTTAAGGTAACTATAAGATAAACACAAATATGTTTAGTAAAATGTAGAAGAAAGTAAAAAACGAAACTGTTTCGGTACAAAAATAGATTGCGCCACATTTCGCCGGCAGACTCAACTTCCTCATTTTTAAAATAGTTTCCAGTTTTTTCCCCTTTTTCAATGTTGGAATGCGCATTTTTATGTGCGGCACTCCTGTTTCAAACTTGTAGAGCAACAATAATCAGGGTAGGTAGACCGTCATGCCCGACTCCAATTTTTATCAGTGCATTATCTCAAAACTTCACCACTATATCATTTTAGCAAATGCGAGAATATATGGTTAATCTTTACCCTTTAGACAAAAAACCAAATGAACAGACCCAGAAGGAAGAAACTTGAGCAGAACAAAAGAAGAGGTGTTAACTTAATGCCCATTTAAAATGTATTGCTCCCCTGATCCAAACTCTATTTTACTAAGGTTTAAACAAAAAAAGAACACAAACAGAGAGAGTGTGTAATTAAGTGCCACAATTACAAATTATTTGCTCCTTTCCATTTAACTCCAAATCTTAAGTGAGCAGAATAAAAGCAGGGGTGGTATACAGGGTGAACATTGTGTTGTCTGGAACACTGAATATATCTTCAAACCCATAGTTTTTTTAAAAAAGCTTTTTATGGTATTCAAAATTATAAAAAATTTGCTATCTACGTACTTTCAATTTCTGATCAGTGGCGTACTTCTGCATGGTCAAGGGAGGAATGTGTTTGTATGTAACAGTAACTGATTGATGATTCATTATATATTATGTATATTAAAGAGTAGGTACGCTTTTTTGGATAAAGCAGGCGTAAAAAACTTATATTATACATTCAAAATTAAGAGAAAAACTCAAAATAAGATCAATAATGTTGTGTTAATTTACTTAATAATTCCACTAGTTTGAAGATGTTTTTTATGTTGTCATATTTAAAAAAGGGTTCTTTCTTTAATAGTACTTCATGAAAAATAGTACTTTCCATTACAAGTGACCCTTTTAGTTCTGTAGACGCCCGCCACTGCAAATAAATTTTAAGCATATAGGTTTACTTATACATTTTAATAATTTTTGATACAATACATTTCTTTGACATAACTAACAAAAGAATAACGCAAACTAGTGGAATCATAAAATTATTCTTCTCTTAAATTTGATTATATAATATAAAGTTTTTTATAATGCTATATCCAAAAAGTTTACGCTTTAAGAATATATAACGAAAACTAGTAGCCTTTGAAAAAATTTTGACCCCCTTCACTATGCAGAAGGACGCCACTGACCACAAATTTTAAGTACGTAAATTGGTAGCAAACTTTTTGTAATATTGGATGCGATAAAGAGTTTTTTGTTTTGAAGATATATCCAGTGTTCAGTTGCAGACAAAATGTTCACCTCGTCTAATTAATTACCAATCTAATTCCCCCACCTGAAATATATTGTGTTCCCTGTCTTACACCCTGCGTTAAGAACGACTTATCAAAACGTACGATTTTTACTAACGTGTTCTCAACCAAACTCTCACATCACAGGCTCGAATTGTAGTTCGTTCTGCTCAAGCGCATTTCACATCTCCTAGGTACCCTGAAGTAGTGTTTCTAAAAATCTCTGGAGGAATTCATATCTATTAGTATTGTCATTCAGACCTTTCATTTTCTCTTTAAGAGTTGCTCCTTTTGACACCTTTTCTCGAGATAATCGGACTGACTCCGCTAATAAATACTTTCAGAGTTCTTTTTCGACACTCGGTTTTAGATATATTTGAAATTTTGACGCCTTTGACAATCGGATTTGAAGTTGGCAGTGATACATCCTTTCATTTTCCCTTTGAGAGTCCCATTTTTTCTTCTTCCTCCTGGAGTCCACAATCCTAGGATTGGTTGGACGCAGTCGTCAACCCTTTCCTATCCTGCGCTAATCTTTTATAGCGTGTGGGGTTGACGAAATTCGGTCTTCCCAGTACTTATCCACTATCTAAACCATGTACGAAATCCACTTGAATAACTTCATTTGAAACAATTTTTTGGGAACGTTGATAAACAGACGTTTTTACTAAGCCCTATTTTAGTGTGTACAAAATACATTTGGAAATGGTTGGAAAATCTTTCAATAATTCCCTTGTCCAATGTTGCCAAGTTTACACTTTCATCTAGCTAGCTGTTAACTCGAATTTTTAGACATTTCCATTATGTTTATGTTAAAATCACATAAAACATTTTAGACATCTCCTACAAGGAAATGAAAGAATTTCCCGCGCACTTAAAATAATCACCTGGATTACGCTGCAAAGTTGAAGTGTATAAAAATTAAATTTAACAGTGTTAGTACTAGTTTGTTAATCGATCCAACAAGACGAGTAACAAGCGTAAAACAAAAGCATAAGCGAAGCGGTGAACTTACATTACAAACAGAGATGGTCTTGAAGTTACGACAGCGTGAGTTAACAGCACCTACGTCTTCTTCCTGCTTCAGCCACCAAAATAACATGCATAAATTATATTAGTGCGATTGTATGTGTGTAGGTATAATTAAATTTCTGTACATACTACATAATCGAAACAATCTGTATCTAACTATTTTTAAGCGGTAATAAAAAGTATGCAAGTGCAATCAAATAGAAAACCTTGACTTTCTCAAGCTTTAAAGGCATCAGGGTCCCGCCCAATTCCATGATTGGACTGCGCCAAAGCGGAACAAAGGTATGTAACATTGTAACAAAATAAAACAAAATACACAAAACTTAACAAACGGGGCTGATTTTTCATGTTTCAGTTATCTGAGAGTTAATTTTCATGAAAGTTTTAAAAATATTTCAAACGTTTTTGGAATTTTTTTTTAATCTTAAAATCCAATTTGAATATTTGTTAATTTTTGTATGTATGTATGTACAGGGTGGCGCATGCCAGTTTCCCCATGAAGTGGGAGGGAAGTGGGATATTATGTTCCGATTGTAATATATGAGTAATGTTCATATAATAAATTTATTTTCATGACTGAAATTTTTTTATTCTGCAAACCTGTAACGGTTTTAAATTTTACTTCTCCCGTTTACAAGGGGAAACTGACATATGCGCCACTCTGTATTTTTGAAAAGAAAATTTATTATGTTGTATTTTTAGATTAAAATCTACAGGGTGTTCCATTTTAAAAAGAATTGGGTTATCAGAATAAATATGCGAGGTCATGTAAAAGAGTTATCGGTTGCAATAGAACACCCTGTATATGTTAATCTAAAATAATCTGATTTCAATTCAAAAAAGCTTCGTGAGTCAAAAAATTTAAAAATAGTTTGTTTTTTGAATTTTTTTAAATCTTTTAAAATCTAATTTGAATTTGTTTGAACTTTTCTTGTATGTGATATACAGGATGGCGTATATGTCAGTTTCCTCATGAAGTGGGATATTATGTTCCGATTGGTTGATAACATGTAATATATGAGTAAAGTTCATATAACAAATTTGTTTTCTTGGCTGAATTTTTTTTATTCTGCTAACCTGTAACGGTTTTACATTTTACTTCTCTCGTTTAGATGGGGAAATTGACATATACTTTGTATTTTTGAAAAGATCTTTTTAGATTAAAATCTACAGGTTGTTCCATTTTTAAAAGATGAAGTTATCAGAAGAAGTATACGGGGTCAAGTAAAACAGTTATCTGCCCTAATCTAATTTTTAGCAATAGAGCACCCTGTGTATCTTAATCTAAAAACCATATTAAATTCTCTTTCCAAAAATATTACCATAAATAGTATTCCAAGAAGATTCAAGTGATTCGAAATAACACACATTTTTTTAATTCAAAATTTTTTCTTAAATATTTCAAGCTTTTTTTAAATTCTTTTACATAATATTTCTAACTTAATCTAACTTAAATTTTTTTGTATATGATATACAGGGTGGCGCATATATCAGTTTCCCCATGAAGTGGGATATTATGTTTCGATAGATTGGCAACAGTAACACTTTTAAGGTAATATGTAAAATGCGAGTAAAGTTAATATAACAAATTTGTTTTCTTGTCTGAATTTTTTTATTCTACTAACCTATAACGGTTTTAAATTTTAGTTCTCCTGTTTACATGATACAATTAACATATGCACCACTCTGTATTTTTAACTTAATATGTCATCTTTTTAAATTAAAATCTATCAGTAAAAAAGTTATCAGTGCTAACCTAATTTTTCGAAATGGAACACCCTGTATATCTTAATATAAAAAGATAGCATATTAAATTCTCTTTTCAAGAATATCACACACCATGAATAATATTCAAAAAAGATTAGTGTTTGAAAATCAAAATGTTTTTTAAATCAAAAAACGTGGGTCGATTGATGCTGTTGGTGGTATTAAGTTTCACAGAAAAGTGGCAGAGGGTTGCAAAAACTGCAAGTCTCAATTTCTCTCTAATTTTTTTTTAATAAAAAAACTGATTACCATAAATTAAAATTTTGCAATTTGCATTAAAAAAGAATTTAATGAGACCCCAGAAGATTAAAAAAAATTCAACAATTTTTTGCAAAATTTTAATTTAGCTTAAATCATTTGAAGTTTTTTGATTAAAGAAAATTTAGATTAGTTTTTGCAACCCTCTGCCACTTTTCTGTGAAACTTTTAAGATACCACCAACAGAATCAACCGACTTACGTTTGGTTCTGAGATACAGGGTGAAAACAAAAAGTTTGACTTTCTGAGATGTTATCATATCTTACTACTCATGTAAGATTGAAAAACATAAAAACGACTGATTTTGTTGGTATTTTTTAAATGCAACACCCTGTATATCTTAACGTCAATTTTTGCATTCTTTTTCCTGATTACATTGATGTATCACCGATATTTTTTTGTGTAATGATTCAGAGTGTTCCTAAATATGATGTAAACACGGAAGATTCTAATTTTATTTTATTTATTTTACGACTAAAAGTTCATATATAGGTTCGCAAACGCTTCGCTACCGATTTCTGGCAGTTTTTGAAATATTTCACTCAAGTTTGGAATATACGTTACCTTGAAGGGCTTATATCATTGGTCATGTCATTGGCAGTGAGAATCTACAAAGTGTTGTTTTTTCAGGGGTCATGTTCCATTTTCTAGCCTTACTGAACTGAACTTTTTTCGTATCTGTGACTGTTATCGAGAGGTAATTAAAAACCAATTTTCGGTAGTTAGCTAAATGAAAGTATAATTCTTCAAATGGTCAAATGGCTTTATTTGAATCATGTCTTGTTTTTATTAGTTTGACAGTTGAAAATTGTATCTTGTGTTTGCATATTAAAAATTAAAGGTTTAGAATTGTTTAGATTATAGAGTGTACAGTAGAAGTATAACACCCTGTAGATAGGAAACGAAGCGTTTGCAGATCTATGTTTATATGAACTTTGAGTTATAAAATAAGCCAAAGAATTAGCCCACTTCTCCTGTACATTTTACTATATCATATTTTTCAAAATTTTGAAATGACATGTTCCTACGGTCAGCCATTTTTTTTATTGGTATCGGCTGTCGTTTTGTCATCATGGATTTACAACAAAATCTCCATGAATCCATGCCCTACTATTTAAGAACAGTAAAAAAGCAGGTTTTTATTAATTTTCATGACTAAAATTGAAAAAAAAATATAGATTGTGATGTGTCTGTGTTGTCAGGAAAAAGAATGAAATACAGGATGTTGCATTTAAAAAATACCAATTTTGGGTAAAATCTCAGAAACAGTGCAACAGAAATTGTTCTACTATGCCACTGGATTCTACATACAAATATCTAAAATAAGCAATTTTACCTTTTTTTCTATCTTACATGGGTAGTCAGATTAACATCCCAAAAAGTCAAACTTTTCGTTTTCACCCTGTATCTCAGAAACGTGCGCAAGTATGCGGGTGGTATCTGTGCTAGCCAGAGGATGCTGGCATTCTGTTTTTTTACTTTACACCATGGTTACCAACAAGATCATAATTGCAACCCTTGCAACTTTTCTCAGAACTGCAGAGGGTTCATAGTATTCAGTTTTTTTAATTCTATAGCCCCTTTACCCCTTTACCGTTATACATTGATCTTTTTACTATCTAACTTTTATTACACATCCTGAGCCTTCGCCTTATTCAAGAGATGAGTGTTCCAACGGTTAAAAAGAAACAGTTCGACAACCTCCACTAATCTTAACTTTTAAATAAGTTATTGACAATTGGGAACTTGAGAATCAAAGATGCATTTTTAATGTACCTACCTATACAGAATTTTTGGTCATACTAAAGATTGCATTTTTCATTTCAGCCTTTAGCATACCTAAGCACTATACTAATAAAAATGCAAAGACACACAATAAAAGCCCCGGGTGCCTTTAAAGCTCAAGAAAATTAATGTGTTAATAAACTACAATATTGAAAGTGTGCTAACGTGATCAAGACAATATGATCTGGCACTGCAGGCCTACGCAAAATACACACCTCATCGCTAATGTGCTCGCAACTCGCGCGATCTTTCGCGCGCTCCCGAATTTGCTCGCGCAAACATGCAATCTCTTTTTGCGCCTCGTCCCGCTCCTGCTCGCGTTCAGCGGACTGTTCCTCGAGAAAGCGACAAGTCGCACGTAACTTCTTGTTAGCCGCTTCGATCTATGCAAAGCAAAAGCACGATGCAGTAATACAAAATAGAACAATATCTACACATTTCTAACCAAAGCCGTTACTTATGCGCGCTTACCGTCGCCATTCTTCACAAACGTAGATAACTTTAAAAGCACTAACTTACGATACCAAGACCGCTAACAAACTAAACTGATAAAATGTGTTTGCTTCAGATTTGTTTATTTGGCAACACTGATTGATTTCTCCTCATTGAAATTAATGTGTTTATTTGTGCAAGGGTTAAAATTCTGCAATTAGTCAATAAGTTAATTGAATTACGCTGTATGTTTTGTTTATTAAACATTTAATTTAATTGCGTAATTAAATGAAAATTAACACTCGAGATGCGCAAAAACCCAGTTAAGACATTTAGAATGTAAGCATTGCCAACAAAGGGAAAAACTTCCATCAAAGATTTCAATATGAGAATATCCCCGCATGATTTCTCCGGTGTGTGATTTATTAGTCACCGCATGTGACAAGCGCAATCAGTTAGTCATACCAGATTGTACTATATTCACCAACTCCCCTCATAATTATCTTTTCCGAGTTTTTACAGGTTTGGTCCTTCTAGCCTGATTGAATTGTCATTAATTTTTAAGAAACAAATCTAACTTTTGTGTGGTAACGTAACGAAGATTTCTTCTATGCTTGAAGCACACCATACCCATATATTGCCAAAGAAAAAAAACCTATTCTATGCAAATATTTAAACAAATATACAATTATAAGTTACCATAGAATGATATGGTTTAAATGGGTGTTTTTTGGTTTTTATTTTATAAAAAAGCATTACTACCAAAAGTCTCTAAGTGCGTTACAGACTCTTGTATACACTGTGTCCATGATAATAGTTATCATGGGGATCTGGGAAACCATAGAGGATACAACGATGGTTAAATAGGGGAAAGTTGCGCAATTAAACCGTTATTACAATGCAGAAAATTCGGATTACTTCCGAAGATATGCCAGAAAAACCGAAATTTTGTTTTTATTTTTTCTGATGATATTTGAGCAGGTACAGATCTGAGAAAAACCAACAAAAAAACCAAAGTTGGAAACTGTTGGTTTCAACAAGATGGGAAACCCGCGCACATCGCCCTAATCGTGTGCCAAATTTCCTGGAAAATTTCCGTCAAATTTTTGCCATATCTTCTTCTCTTCCCCAATTAGACCACCTTTGTATCTTCTATGGTTCCCGAGATCCCTGTGATAGACATCCTTATCTTGGACGCGGTATTAAAATTCAGAAGGGTTTCAGTTCATGTTAGTAATGCTTTTCAGCGCTTTCTAATACCTTTACATGGTATTTTAAACATTTTCCGAATATTTATAGGTGGGTTATACAGGGTAAACGTACGTAAGAGTCTGAAAAAATAGTGGAAAGCACTTACAAATGCGATACAATGCTCTGGGGAGAGTAAATAAAGCTCTACAAAGTTCTTACGAGGTTTTGGAAAACTTTCTTGCGACCATTACTTGCTCGTTCCAGAACAGGACGAGCGTATGAAGCTACAAACGCTATAGAATGATCGAATAAGGGCGGCCGCACACGAGCCGCATTTATCAGTCGGAGCGACCACTTTCGCCGTTTTCATTGTTTTCTTGGAATTTTGCGTTAGTTCTCTTTTAATTTTTGGGAAACTTTTTGAATTTTTCTGAATTTTCCAAATATTTTGAATTTTTGAAACTTCGGTTTTCATACTTTTTGGAATTTCAATTGTCCTAATTTATTACATCAAAATTCAATTCAAATTCAGAATTTTTTAATTTTCCAAATTTTTCAGAATTTTCCCAAATTATCTCAGTATTTCATATTTGTCTTCTCCTACATACATTTGGTTAATTGAATATTATGAGTTTTTTTAACTATTGTAAACCTTTACCATGTTTATGATTTTTTTTATTTCTCTTGTTTAAATGGTTTAAGGTTTTCTGGATAATGTTTGGAAATTTTGCCAAATTTCTCGAATTTGGTATTTGTACAGGGTGGCCAACTAACAATGCGAGGTATCTGAGAATCTATCCATCGCAGAGGTTTGCGGTAAAAAAAGTTATTACTAAAACGGCCACGAGAAAAACCTGGAAAATATTTTTAAGTATCTAAAAATTTTTAAGTTTCTGAAATGACCGCTAGGGGGCGTAACTGCAATCTGGAACCTAAAAATGAAATGGTGGGGGGTATTTAAAGGTTTCAGTAAAGAACACCCTTTATCTTCGAAACAGCTGAGCCGATTTAAACAAACTCGAGTTAGTTCAAAAGAGCTATTCTTCAGCGGTTTTTGCGAGCTTGTTTAGGCATCATTTAGCTACTTTTTCATGCAAAAAAATCAAACCAACGCATTTAATTTTTTTAAGAAAATTAACCATTTCTGTCGGAATGTCGAAAAAACCCTCAAGCGGCGATATGTGAAACTAACAAAATGCCGAAGAATAACTCTTTTCAATTAACCCAAGTTTGTTAAAATCGGCTCAGCCGTTTCGAAGATACAGGGTGTTCTATACGAAAACTGTTGAATACCCCTCACCACTTCATTTTCATTGTCAAACAAAAAAGGTTCAGATTATCTTCAAAGACCGGACATTTTTTTGTTAGGTTAATATAGCGGAATTCACAGAAAAATCACTTTTTTAGATTCCGAATTGCAGTTACGCCCCCTAGCGGCCATTTCAGAAACTTAAAAATATTTTCCCGGTTTTTCTCGTGACCGTTTTAGTAATAACTTTTTTTACCGCAAGCCTCTACGATGGACAGGTTCCCAGATACAGTACCTCGCATTCTTATTTGGCCACCCTGTACACTTGGAAGTTCTATTGAACTTTTCTGAGCAATCTTGATTTTTTTATTTTACAAATTTTTCGAGAACCTTCCTGAAAGTTTAGAATTTGTATGTTTTAATGTATAATCTTCTCGCTTTTTTAATTTTTGACAATTTCTCTTCGAATTTTACAATTTTTAAAATTGGATTTGTACTTGGTAACAAAATCACAATGGACACATTTTAAATTCTTGGTAGTTTGGTGTGAAAGGAGGCTATATCTATGGAATATATATGAACTAAGGACGTAGTTATTCCGGTGGCTTTTGTAGAAATTATTATACCTCAAAGACTTATTTATTGTTCCGATATTTAACCGCAAGTATCATCGATTTCCTTTTGGCGATTCTTGTTAAATCTGGACTACTTTTGCTTTTGCTCTTTACATCATTCGAATTATTGTCTTTTTGATGTGTTAATTACGTTTTTTAGATTTGAATTACCCGAGTTGTGCAAACGTTAATTCCCACATCTTGTATGCCATGCTGTCAATACCACTCTCTTTTTGTGTTTGTAATGATTGCAGCACCCTTCTGAGCTCAGTAAGGCTGCGGTTAAACTTCTAACGTAAGAGATTCTATTTTCATTGACATTCATTCCACCCCTGAATTTTGCGCAGCAATTTTAAATTCTATAAAAAGGGGAGTGGCAAATAATAGTATATTGAAAGACAAGTGTTACAATGCGACCTATTGTAATATGACTATCTTGTGGCACGAGTGGCGACGCGAAGCGTAGCCACGAGTGTCCGCAAGATAGAAGTATTACAATAAAGCATTGTAACACGCGTTTTTCATACTATTTTTTCTATTTCGGTGCTTTAATTTAATTTAAAAAATCATAATCAGAAGCTATAGGGAACATTAGAACTAACATGTTTTATGTTGGGAACACTTTTTATGCCGTTAAGTTTTAGGTTGGCAGCGTAGTAAGACTGACATTTTGAAGTTCAAACATAGAAGTATTGTACCTACTTGTACTAACTGGTAACTGCCAACTTAAGAGATGCAGATGAGTTACCAAAAAAAACGACTATAATCACTGTCTTTGTACAACTGTGTACAAAATCATCATTGTGACACCGAAATAGAAAAAATTAATTTAAATGCGCTACATTATTAATACAACACATTACCAGAACCTTTGATGGATATTTTCCCTTCTCCCTAAACCACAAGCACCACTAAACAGAAAATACCTACCTGCTGTTGAAGATCAAGGTGCTCATTTTTCGCCTCCTCCAATTCGATGCTTAGATCTCGATTCGTGGAATCGATCGGTACCTCATCATCCGTTCGTGGTTTGTTAAACGTCAACGACAAGTTGAGGATCGCGTTGGCATCCGCTTTCAAGCGATGGAGGCAAGCCTCAAGTTCGTTTCGCATGTCTAAAGAGATGTTCGTGTCGCCGTCGGGTGTCGCCGATATGATCTTGTCAACTTTAGGTGTGAAATGCACCCTCTTCTTGCCGCCAAGGTGCGAAATTGACTCGTCGTTGAGATTTAGCTCGATTTCGAGCTCGGTCAGATTCCGACCGATGTTTTTCTTCAACAATTCATCCACAAGAGTGTTATTGAGTTCGTCTTCGCACTCGCGAAAGTACTTTAAAAGCTGCGCGATTAACTGACGCAGCAACGTTGTCGTTTTCAGTAAACTGTCCCTGGAAAGCAGGCGCTAGTTGAGCGAGTGATGGTAAGTAACTAACCTTTCTTGGATGATCTCCGCTTCGTTTTCGCTCGCATCGCGCAAACTTTTTCGTCTGGCTCGTTCTACAGTTCCATTGAGAATTTTGAAGTGGTCTTCTTTCAACTTGGCAATCTCTTCTTCGTGCTGCTCCTTCAGTTCGTTAATCTCGCGTTCGTATTTTTCAACGAATTTGTTACGAATCTGCAGCAGTTCGGTGGGCCACTCCGAATCGTCGCACGTACCCGCCGCTATCGTCTAAAATAGTTATTGATGTCAAGCTGTGAACACTTGCAGATTCTTATTCTAAAAAGTACTAAATATAATGAGATTCAACGCAATTATCTTTTTTTTTAATTATGAAACCCACAGGAAGGGTCAGGTTTCTTTCAAAAAATTTTTGGGTTGAATTAAGGTCGGAGAAATTTTCATATGTACTGCTTCATGCGAATGGTGATCTAGAGTAGGTTTAATGGCGACAGCCAGACGAGATTTGATGGAATTGGTTATTGATACCAAATAGCTGTGACAAAGAGTTCACACGATTCGTCCCGTTGCGTTGGTTCCATTCGTATTTTCTATACCGCACAGCTTCAATATAGGAATAGTAGATTTCGGTTGGTTAGAGAACGCGATGAACAGTCCCAAGATTCTAGGGTTCTCTAGCCGGCGTTCTCGAAAGAGGGAAAAAGAAACAAGAGCGGCAGCTCGAGCGTAAAGGTCGTCTAAAGAATTTGGTCCCAAAAAATTTAAATTTTCACCCTTAAAAAAGTGAAGGTTGTTCTTTTATAAGCAACTCGTTCCGAGCGAACCGTGCTAAATTTCGAGTCGTCCCGTAAACAAAGTAGAATTAGTTTTAAAAGAATCGCGATAGAGTTATGGAGAAGAATAATCAAGTTTAATCGCGGAGACTATACTTTATTTCGCATTGGGAGATCTACGAACTTCGCTACTAGGCGAGATTGAATTTTGATGCGAGCTGCGCGTAGACCTTAGCGACGGCAAATAAAATCCTTTTTTGTGATCGAATCGCATAAAGCGGGTGTTCGCTTGAACAAACAGTACCCTATCCCGCAGAGCATGGCGTACAAAACCACGTTCAGGGGCAGCTGTTTCTGAAGTCGAACAACAAGAGCTAAACAAATGCTTTATGAAACACTGGGGAACATGCCCCATCACAAGAGTCAATCCTTGAGAGAAGCGCGACCATACGTAATCATGCATTCCATGACAAACTGAGATTGTGCAACATGCTAAATTTAACCTTTAGCGAATGTAAAGAGTAAATTATGTCTGGATTGGAACAAAGAGCATTAATTACGGGTTTAATACGAGGCATGTTCAATAAATACACGTTCGAACGCTGTAGCACGAATGTTAGTTTTGCTATAACCACAGAAAGTTACATAAGACGGTCGTCGGTAATGTAGGTGTCTACTGTGACAGTTTGCTCGTGATATTCGTAGGATACACAGTTGTGCGCGTTTCAGTATGGCAGGTTATATCGTTGGAGCGTCCAAGATCGATCACCGAGCAGTACCTGCTTTTTCGATCACCGTGGACCATGAGTTTAAAGACCTTCATGTTAACATCAATGCTGTCCGATACAGTGAAACTTTGACTCGCTTGCGTACAGCCATAAAGAATAAACGTCTTGCGATGCTTACGGAAGGCGTGATTCTCTTTCACGATAACGCCCGTCCGCATATCGGTAACATTATCACGTCACAGATAGCGCGACTGAGGTCGGAGGTATTAGAACACCCCCGTTATAGCTCGGTTCTGTCACCCTATGACTTCCATGTCTTTGGACTCTTAAAGAAGGCACTCAAGGGACAGCGATTCCATTTGGACGCTGAAGTCGAGCAGGCAGTTTTCACATCGTTCTGTCAACAGCCACAGGAGTGGTATGCCACCGGTATACCGCGTTTTGTGAAGCAGTGGGATGCCTGCTTATGTAGTACTGGCAATTTTGTTTAGCTTAAATGAACCGCTTATATGTAACACCGGTCGAACGTGTATTTATTGAACCTGCCTCGTAGTATGCCAATGACCTACTGCATAATATATGTATCCCTACAAAGATTAACACGAACCTGCGAGTCATTCCACAAAAATCGTAACGAGACAAATTATTCGATGAAGAAAACGCCAGAGCGATCCCACAGGTGAAGTCCGAGAGCGAGAGCTGTTCGATGTTTCAATTGTGCGTCCGAGGAACATTATTCCAATGAATGCCCGCGTCCGAAAAAGTACAATGCATGTTTTAAATGTAAACAGCCGGGTCATACAAAGGACAACTGCACGACACGGCGAGCACACCCAGAAATGAATGTTGTGCTGAAAATACAACGGCAAAAGCGAGCACTTCCAGCAGACACAGCGTGATGAATATCAAAAACCCCCGGGTGGGAGATAGCGTTGGAAAGTTCCTCCGGGAAACAAGAATTAATGGCACCGATTAAGGCAATGGTTGACGCAGGTAGCTCAATATGTACGGCTAAAGCAACCGTGTTTGAACAACCGGGAAGTTTGCGCCTTTAGTAACGAGTGTAGTACACTGTACGAGAATCTCGAAAACTACCATAGACATTGACGGTGCACGAGGTATTTGCAGTACCCGATGAAGCGCAACCCATGGAGGTGCTAATAAGGCGAACGATGACGAGATGGAAAAGATGGTTTATTTTGGTTAAAATTCTAGTTCTCTTGAGATTTTGAGACACCTGCCAGTGAGCAGAATTTATATCGATGAAGCTAAGATACTTAGCGTCGCGAAGTTAATCAAGGATGATTGATACATATGGTAAAGGGTAAGCGTCTTTTTTTGTTGCCGCATTCAGGTGTGGGTAATCGACTCAGAATCGAGGCGTACAATCTTAACTAGACATACTGGAGAGTACCATGGACTATAATACACACGGTTCAATAATGTTGTCCTTCAACATTTTGTTGAGCTCTTCATCAATGATTTGTTGCTTAATTGGCGAAACTGGGTAGTAACGTTGCTTTATTGGCTTTGTTCTGGGAAAAAGTCTTCAATATAGTCACTTTTTCTGCAGTGGCAACACAACAATTTCCTCGTACGGGGACAACTGTGAATGGTATAGCCCATTGTTTGGCAATTCCAGCAAATTAATTTAGAACTTGTTACTAAGTGTGCAACCTGCGTGCGGAATTCACTAAGGCAGGCCAATAGTAAAACACAGAAATCAAAATCTTGTCATTACACAAACATCCGTCGCCCTCCAACTTCAGCGCTAGGTTTGCGACAGACTTGACGTTGTTTAGTCGCCTCGTACGAAACGCAGTGCCTTCTGCAGTAGAGTTATTCTTTTCCGCCGCTACCTCGGCCGCTACACGTATACAGGGTGCTACATGACCGCATGTAAAAAAAATTAGGTGATAGAGGGGATCAAGATAAGCGCTTTTTCCAAATAAACTGAGGGTCCAACGTGTTTCGTTTGGGAGCCACCCCCAAAGAAGTGGTGAAATTTGGATTTCTTCTTTAATTTTTTTCTCAGTAACCATACCAGTTACAAAGATGGGTGGCACGTAAAAAGTAAATTTAAGATACAATTTAAGCATTTTTATTAATTAATTAATTAATCTCATTTTCCAAATATTTGAGGTTAGGAACGAGATTTAGAAAAACGGTTTTCACTGGCCTCTTTGGATGTTATTTGGCTACTTTTTCATAAAGGAAAAGTCATATCATTCCATTTGATTTTTTTAGGATTTTGGGTCATAGTGTCAAAACTAGCCCCCTGGCGGAGAAGAATTCAACTAACTTAACTATATTTTGGTTGATTATCATTGCCCAAGGAATGATATTTTCAACCATACCAAATTTGTTACAATCGATCAAACGGTTAAGAAGTTAAACCAGGTTATTGCTCCCCACGCCATCTTTGTTTTTGAAATAACTGAGTTTTGCTTTTTACGAAAATGATAAACTGGTTCTCTTTAAAAATGTGAAAAAAAATTTTTTAGTTTATTATGCGAAATTTAAAGAAAATACAATTTTAAAATTTAAGATGGCAGTTATGCCCTCTGTTGGTCATTTTTAGAACTTGAAAATATTTTCCAGCGATTCTTCATGACCGATTTACACAATAATTTTGTTTACCCCTAATCATATGACGCACGGTTCTCGAGATATGGCCGAGGAACAGTCTTATTGGGTCACCCAGTACATTGGAGCAAGGTAAATACAAAATGCAATGACAGATTTGACGTTAAGGATGTCAATTCAGATACGGCAATTACAATTGGCAGCACTAAGTTGTGCGTGTTGAAAATTCAGCCAATTAAAAATGTTCATTTAAATTTGCCGGGATTTTTTTGGAAGGAGGTTAACTGCATCTGTTGGGTGAACAGATAATAGTACCAACAGTTAAAGATCGGCACCTACATTACCAATACTGCGTTACCATGTAGCTGGCGCATTGGTTAAACCAAAGGGCATTCTACGAAAACCTATGCAAACCTCTACCCGGGACGGTGAAGGCTGTACAATCTCGAGAAGATTCAGCAAGAGACCCCTGCCAGTGAGCAGATTTTATATCGATCAAGCTAAGATACTTAGCGTCGCGAAATTGATCAAGGATGATCGATACATAGGGTAACGGGTAAGCGTCTTTTTTTTTGCCGCATTCAACTGTGGGTAATCGACTCAGAATCTAGGTGTCCCATCTTAACTAGACATATTGGACTATACACACGGTTCAATAATGTTGTCCTTCAACATTTTGTTGAGGTCTTCATCAATGATTTGTTGCTTAATTGGCGAAACTGGGTAGTAACGCTGATTGGCTTTGTTCTGGGATAAAGTCTTTTCTGCAGTGGCAACACTGCAATTTGCTCAGACGGGGACAACTGTGAATGGTACGGCGCATCGTATGACTTAGGGGTAAAAAAATTATTGGGTAAATTGGTTATGAAGAATCGCTGGAAAATATTTTCAAGTTCTAAAAATGACCACCAGAGGGCGTAACTGCCATCTTAAATTTTAAAATTGCATTTTCTTTAAATTTCGCATAATAAACTAAACATTCTTTTTTCACATTTTTAAAGAGAACCAGTTTATCTATCATTTTCATAAAAACAAAAACTCAGTTATTTCAAAAACAAAGATGGCGTGGGGCGTTCAATTGTTTTTGCAATAACCTGCTTTAACTTCTTAACCGTTTGACCGATTGTAACAAATTTGGTATCGTTGAAAAGAGCATTCCTTGGGCAACAAGAATCAACCATATAGTTAATTTAGTTGCATCCTTCTCCACAAAGGGGCTAGTTTTGACAATATGACTTTTTCTTTATGAAAAAGTAGCCAAATAACACCCAAAGTGAAAACCGTTTTTCTAAATCTCGTTCCTAACCTCAAATATTTGGAAAATGAGATTAATTAATTAATTAATAAAAATGCTTAAACTGTATCTTAAATTTACTTTTTACGTATTTCCGGTATTTGTCGATCAACAAAAAACATCGATTTAAGTCGATATTATGATTAAATGATCACAAAAATTCGATATTAGGATACTTGCAATAATGCTTATTGATTGTAATGGAACTCTACTTAAAACGCATTTTCGCACCACCCGCACCCACGGAATTTTTGGAATCAAATTTGTACACTTGAATACTGTGATCCAAGGTTGGTATATTACAGGTTGCCTCGTAACTATCGACCAATAGCAATCGAGGCGCGAATACGTCACTGGTATCCCACGATTTAAACGAAATAATAAATGCATGCAGCCATACAGCTGGAAAATTTGATGCGTAGCTATTGTTTACAGTTCTTTGATGATGTTTGAATCGTTTAACTACTGAAACACAAATATTCATTTTATATTTTAAAATTTAGTAATTATAAATCGTTATATAATACAGTCAATCTTCGTCTGATGTACCAGTGTTTACCGTGAAAGATAAACAGCTTCATCTAACAATCAATTGCGTAGTCACAGTTTATATTGTCTCTACACTTAAGTCTTCGATTTGTAGATGAGATAGGCGGTATCAACGAGACCATATGATCCTCCTGCTTCGGTCAGTTTTAAACACGTTCATCTTCTGCCGACCCGCTTTTCCCTAAAGCATCATTTTCTTTCATTTTCCGTAAATATCGTGACCGCCAATCAACAATGTTGCTACGTTCCATCAATAATTGAAATTGAAATTAACATTACCTAATTTAGGTATGAGTTTTATTGATTTGCCGTCACAGCAGCAGCTAGCTCTGTAGCCTTTTCCAAAGGAAATGCCCACATACGGCAGCTTTCTGTTTGTCAAAGAATTCCACGACCCTTTTAATAATATTTCTAGGTTCTGAATGCACAGGTTCAATATTTATAACCTTACGCGTATGTCATATGACAAGTAATGACAAGGTAACGAAATTTGAGTGGCTACCAGTGACGTCACGAGCAGACGACTTGATCCCCATTATTGCAGTTACGAGGCAACCTGTAATATACCAACCTTGACTGTGATCGACATATCAAATTTTTTGTGATCATTTAATCATAATATCGACTTAAATCGTAATTTTTTGTTATTTGCGACATTTTCAATGAACTAGATGCGTAATTAGATCACTCACTAGTAGGCGGGGGACACTTTGTAAACCGACGGCCCAATCTTCAAATGAGTATAACTTTTGTTTGAAAAGTTATTTTAAAAAACTGTTCGACAATTTTGTTCCTTAACTCATCAAGTATGTACACAACAAATTTCGTGGAATTCTCTCCATTTTCGTTGTCCGGCCAAGAATTGCAGTTGTACTTTTTTTTCGAATTTTCAAAAACTAATTTCAGATTCGATATTTTCATGTTCAAAAACCCCCAGATACCAAATTTCGTCGAAATCAGAATTTTTTTTCGCACCCCCAAGTAAGGGTGCGCCCTTTCGTGGTAGGAATTTTGGAAATTTTTTTTCAAAATCGGATAGGGCATAGGTACCCGAAAACCTATTAAAAGACGTGCCACCCATCTTTGTAACTCATGGTTGCTGAGAAAAAAATGAAAGAAGAAATCCAAATTTCACCACTTCTTTGGGGGTGGCTCCCAAACGAAACACGTTGGACCCTCGGTTTATTTGCAAAAAATGTTTGTCTTGATCCCCTCTATCACCCGATTTTTTTTTACATGCGGTCATGTAACACCCTGTATACCTATTTACAAAATCGAAAAAATTTAGGACCGCACTGGCAAGTACCATTACAAAATATAATACCACTAGTACCTTATAAAGTTAATTGTGACAATCTCTCGCTATTTATACCACCTCACCAATGTGTATTATTTATGGATGAAAACACACCACACCGCTCCTCTGTAGAAATCTGTAATTTCTTCAATCAGTTGATTAGTTTAATAATGTAAAAAAACATTATTATTATATGGCGTTGAATCACTTTATATTGAGTACTCTTTCTTATACTAAAGAAAGAAACATTAAATACCTGCACTTGGAGCTCTAAAGCATTCAATATGTCAAACTTAGCCATCGTGACTTGTTCCTGCAATCGACGTTCATAGCTTTGAACGACCTCTTCCAATTCAAACTCGCCCGAACTCGCCTAGTTAGTAACGGAGCATGCAATAACGACATGAACAAATTAGTTACAACATAGAAACAAGACAGCACACAACACTGCATGCACAAGTTCCTTAACTTGAGTTGGGCACTCTGCATACTGCATGTATCATTTGAATAGAACTGAGCGGCCAGTATACAGTGTGTCCACTAAAAGATAAAATCTTACCACTTCCTGAACGGCCGTATGAATATTCAATTCCGCATTACGCAAAGCCTCCTCCAATTCCGATTTGAGAGAATCGATTCGTTCCATGTTCTTCGTATTTTGAACCTCGATGCGATTCTCGTAATCCTCCCTTAGAATTTCGAGTTCGGCGTTACACTTATTTTTGAACGCGGACAGATCGAACTTGAACACCTGCTGCAGGTTGCACTTCTCCAAGCTCGTTATCAAATCGGCGTGATCTTCTTGACTTATACGTTCTAAGTCGTACTCGGCTAGCGTTTTCACAATATCCGATAGGTCTTGTTTTAGTTTGACGCAATCGCTTTTTGTAAACGCCTTAAAATTGGGTTTGGGTGGCTCGATTTTCGGTAACTCGATGTGCAAGTGGCTGGAATCGCCACCTGGGCCTGAAGGTAGATGCGATCCGGTGAAGTGAAAGTCTAAAGACTCTGAACATAGACTTGATTCGGACATTTTACGACTATGTTGACTGAACACCTCCTCCGAATAGCTGTGTAATAAAAATCGGTGTTAAGACAATTGCGTGTACATGTCTGATTTAAACGAATGCTACTTACATTGTATCCTTCCTGATTTGTGATAAGTAATGCAAATTAGAAAAGCGTTTAAGGTACCATGAATGTATACTCACTTTTTTTCGACTTCCGCGCATTTCTTCTCAAAATAAGTCCGAAGTTCTTCCATTTCCTTTGCGTGTTTCGCTTCCAATTCTGTTCTAAGTGCGACGACATCGTCGGGATGGCAATTCATACCATTTAACAGTTCCTTTAGCTTTGCGATTTCTGCTTCGTACCCCATTTGTTCGTTCTCCAATTTATTCTAAAATTTTAGAGTTGAGCAATGCAAGCTACAGTGACTATACTACAAACAGTGGCGGCAATCGATTTTTATTGGCCTGACTAATCACGTGGTATACGGTCCCCATCAAAGGAAAATATTCTTTGTTTACTTTTTATCAGCGAGTCTGTTGTATTTGGATTGACTCGTTTAATCGACCTTAAGCAAAACATTTGAATTTCGTGTTCTAACAATACAAACTTGCCAAAAATGTTGCCTCATAATGGCGGATGGGCGGAGCTAACCGCTGCTTCTCGCCACTTTTTGTAGTATAGGGTCACTGTAATGCGAGCCTATGATAATGAGTGCATTAATTTTCGCCTGAAATTATCTCCACAACTAAGAAAGCGCAGTTGAGCCTAAGTATCCTGTCTTTATCAGATGCACCTAGCGTTAAAATATCTCCGCATTAAAGAAAATGTATTTTACGCAACTCTGCGCATGCGCACATTTGCTGTGCGAGACCGGTCTTAAATTTTCCTTCTTTAGATGATGCAGCTATCGTTAAAATTTCATGTAATCTGCTCGTCTAAGAAAGTTGTTTGTGCAGATGCGTGCAGATGATTTTCGCCATGGCTTTATTCAACAATAAATACAACTTACCTCCAATTTTTTCAACTCAAGCTGATGTAATCTGTGATGCTCCCCCATATGGGCCTCTACGTAAGCGTTGATAGACTCCTTAACCCCTCGCATCAGCTCAATCTGTGGCGCATTGAGGGTCCTCTCCAGCGATAAACATTCTTTGTCCAAGTTCAAAATTGATTCGTCTCCTTGAGGTTCGTCCGAAGATTGCTGCAAGAAGTTTTTCGTAAAGATGCAATAACAACCACCTATAGGTACAAGTAATTACTATATTCTGGTCGTTGTAACGTATTTACTATAGCAATTGCAATATTTAAATGAACATTTCTGCATTCATGTGATGTTTATTAATGCGCCGTAATAATCCAATCGTCCAGTCAAACAAACTTTTGAATTTTGAAGTCCAGAATTTTCCGAATATTTTGAATTTTTTAAACTTTGGTTTTAATTCTTTCTGGAATTTTTCAATCGATTTTTTTACAAACTTTTCGAGAACGTTCCCGAATGTTTAGAATTTGAACTTTTATCCTCAACTTTCGTACGTAATTTAATATTTTAGATTTTTTAATTTTTCAAATTTTGTTTAATTTCTCTACAAATTTTTGAAAATCGAGTTGTTCAACATAAATAAAACTGCCAAATTGAAATATTTTTATACACTTATAATCCAAGTAAGTACACATACGAATTTTTCCAATTTTCTTAATGCTATATTTTTTAATTTTTTTATTTTCCCAAATTTTTATAATCCGAATATTACTGAACTGTTTTCTTCTTTGTTTGTAATAATTTTACATTTGTTTTACTTTGTACGCTATTCAAAGTTTCTGAATTTGCCGAATATTTTTAATTATTTAAACTTTTAAGTTTTCATTCTTTTTTAATTGTATTTAATTTTTAAAATTTTCCTTTTTTCCCTATCTATAATTTTTCCATTTTCGACACTTTTAACTTATATTTCTATTAATTGTTATTGCTATCAAAAAAATAATATAGGGGCCATGTGGTCCTTTTGAGTCAAACTTAAAATGGTAAAGTCAAAACTTGTAAATTTTCGCTCAGAATGATACTATATATTTATACAGAAGTTTCTTTGTAATGATTGGTGAATAATATGCGGTTTTGAAAATAAATATCTGGAATCAACAAAGTTATCGGATCTAATCTAATTTGTTAATAAAACACCCTGTACATATTAATCTAAAAAGATATTGACCTATAAGACATTAAATTCTCTTTCCAAAAAGGATTCCAGTTTTTTTTAATATCTTGAACTCGATCTTGAATCACTTGAACCTCTTTTAATTTTTTAACTCTTTTTTCAATCTCCATGAATCTTTTTTTAATTTTCCCGAATCACTTGAACCTTTTTTGAATTTTTTAATTTGTCGAATACATATTTTGAATTATTAAAATTTGTCGGTTACATTCTTTTTGAATCTGAATTTTTCCAATATACTTAATTTTGTGAATTTTTTTCTTTTTTTTCCCTATCTAAGTACAATGTTCCATTTTCAAGACTTTTATATCAAAAATCAAAAAACCTGCGTACATTTAGGTGAAATGATTTAAAATTTCTAAATTCTTCCAAATTTTAATATTTTTGTACATCTAATATAATTTCAAAGTAAGAAATTTTCGTTTTTTTAGCTATTTTTTAATTTGTTTAATTTTCTGGAATATTACTGAGCTTTTTTCTCTTTCGTACAATTAAAATTCTTTGAATCTCTGTTCTGATCTTAAATTTCTGTGTATCTTAAATGTTTGAGACACATAATTTTACATTGTGTGTTGTTTTGTGTGGATTTTTTAAAGTTTCATAATTTGTCGAATATTTTCAATTGTTGAATCTTTTCAGTTTTCAATCTTTTTGTATTTATATTTATATTTTTACAATTTTCTGAAATGTTTTAAATTAAATGTTCTAAATGTTAATTTTTGTCAATGTTACCAAATTCAAAAAGGTTTCAGTGATTCAAAAAACTCATAAGATCTTGGAATTTTTTTACTCCTTTTTGGAGTAATTGTTCCGTTCTTCAATGATCTAAAGTTACTCTAGAGTTTAGACCATAGGGTGCATCAGGCCATCAATAATAATAATAATAATACATAATGTAAACAATAAATCTCTACAACAACTACACCAAGAAGGAAAAGCGAACGAACTATTACAGTTTATTCAAGAGGTAAATATCTACAGTAAGATATAAAGGCTGAGAAAGGATAGAAATGGATATGTACTTACCTGTCAAATAAAGATAGTACTGATTAAATACTTCCCTGCACCGCTGATGCGGCTTGTCAAAAGACTTGCGAAACATTACAAAGACCTTATTAAATCAACCACTTACAAAATGCTGTGTGTCTATCCCAATACCATCAGTTGTATCACCATCTGGCAAAATGGTTCCGGTGACTACCGGCTCGAGAGTGTCAGTTTGAGCAGAACAATCCCTTATGGGAACCAACGCACCCTCCTTCTTCTTCCCCAGCAAATCGGACGTATGGGCTAGCTGTTTTTGGAGTACGGCGATATCGGTTGCCAAACTCTGGCTGTCTCGTTCTAGCTGCACTCGTTCGTCACACGACCTTTTCAATGCATCTGTCAGCTGTTGGATCAAGATGTCGCGATGCTGCAAGTCATCGTCGTACTTTACGATCTAGAAAATGAATCTATAAGTCTAGGCACGACCATCGAAGCGCTTACCTTTTTGTAATACTCTTCGGGAAAATTTTTATAGTCTGTAGTCGAAGTGTTTAAGCTCGGTGTGGATTGAGCACTCGAGTTAATTTCTCTCCAAGATTCCAACTCGGAGGTCAACGCGTTGATTGTCGTTTCCTTCGCGTTGATAATCTCCTCGAGCTGTTTCAATTTTGAGGTGTCCCCGAGAGTGCTGTAAACGTTGGGTTTCGTGCCGTACTCCTCAAGAAAACTATCATTTAAATTAACATCTTTAAACAGATTAAAGCTATTCTCGTTTGAATCCGTGTGGTGCAGGGTGTGTTCCGAATCGGATTTGAATTCCTCGCTCCGAAGGATTTCGTTTAAAATACTTTGTACATTACTTTGACTATCTACATTCGTTTTAGTTATCACATGTGGATCGGTACTGTTACTAGAATCTAATGGTGAGGGTTTATTCTCGTGCGATATATGTTCTGTGTTTTCGTCGGACGACAAGTTTTCAAATAATGACAAGTTTGACGGGACGTTCGATATCTCAATTTCTTGAAGTGATCTATCATTTTCAATGCTCTCACTGTGTGAACTTAAATGTTCGGATATAACACTACTCTCCGACTGGACGTCTCCAGTATGTTGTTTGGGTGCATTTTCTGACAAGGGTGGGGATGCGGACAATGAAGTATCACTTTGGGAAGCCGAAGCACTTCGCGGTGAATGTTTGTGTTTTTCTTTTTTCTTTTTGTAGGCAGTTAGCTGGAAATAGGCAATTATAATTAGAATGATTTAAGATGGGCTATAAATAAAGTATACCTTTTCACGGCCAGCTTCCACTTTTTTCTTGCGGTCATCTTCCATGTTTTAAGTTATTCGTACACATAACATGTTAAAACACTGCGCAGTTTTAAAAATGAAGAAATATGCCTTTTGTACACGTACAAAATTATATTAAAAAGCTAAAAACAAGGTTATAAATGGCCATAATTCACAATAAGGTCGATAGATGGTTCTCATTTGTTTTGAATTTGAAATCGCTATGACAACATGTAACGTTTTATTTTGAGCGGTAATTTTAAATTCAGGATTCATTAACCGAGATAGCGCTAATCGTGATAAGGCATGAGCAAGTCTCAAGTCAGTACCTATTTCGAATACATCTATTTGAAATACGTCTTTAAAGTAGAAAATGGCATTTTTTATTTGATGTTTTAAACAGACTCTTTCCTTCTCTAGGTTTTAAATAGGGTTGATAAAACTACTTTCTTTTTCTTATTTTAAATAGAATACCAATAATGGTAGGTGTAACAATTTGCGCTATCTATCGATATCTAATCTGTCATTTCTACTGATTAGTCCTTTGAGTTCTTAATTCACTTCTTGCTTGGTCCTCTATCGGTAACCGATTCCGCGCCATAAACCGCGTTCGTTGAGTGAGAATTATAAAGAGGCGCAACTTCATTAATTTAGATGAGTCTTTATTCAGGCACCGACAAATATAGATACGCATCTGATGTTTCCTTCGTAAAGAGTAGTCGATTTCCGCAGTTGTAGCAGCGTTCATGTTGTTGAGCGACGTTTAAGATCAAAGTCGGACACCACACTCGCACCCTCTCCCTGTCGACGGTGGGGTCCGAGAATGGGAACCTTCGGCGAGTGAGATGGGGATGTGTCGCAATTTTACATTAGATAGTGGGGCCATTGTTAAGTGTAGCAGCAGATGATCCATAAAGCGCTAGAATGTTCTGCATCAAATACATTAAAGTGACACGTGACTCGCAAAAGCTTTCGAATAATACGAAAAAGACTTAAACAAAAGAAATCCTTAGTGCATTTATGCATCCCGTACGCTTCATGAAGACTTAAGGTGGAAATGCACTAGGCCCTAGGGAGTAGCAGTCGCGCCTTGTCACGACTAGAACCGTCGCGATCTCGCAACTAGAGAGTCGAGCGCTCGACCAAGAGCGATTACAACCAAGTGTTGGTAGGGCGTTCGACGGGACTGCGCCGCGCCCACCAGTTCCAAATGCGTTCATGAAGATTAAAAACAATACAACGAATATAAACTGGACTAGGCATGTTGGATTTCACGAGTTTTCTACATATTGAATCACTATAATGTTTCTATTTTTTGTATATCAACCATATGCATATTTTATGTTGTCGCAAATTGATTACTCTTCTCAAATATCGTAAAAAAACATAAGCATTGCATTTGAAAAACAAAAGTGCCATTGATTTCCGGTTAAACCGGAAGGTATGCCGGAAGTTTTAGTATGCGATCGGATAACATCGTAATATCATATAAAATTATATTTCACACATTTTTCGTATCTCGCCAAATAAAAGAGATATTGAGGTGGCCCTTGTATATGAGACGCGCTAAGAACTCGATTCGCAATTAAAGCAGGCACATTTCTGTACCCGAGAGCGCTGTTTTCAAACCAGCGTACGGTTATGCATGATTTCATTTTCTCTACACAAAAGCACGTCAGCACAAGATCAACGAAAGGAACTATTTCTGGTAGCAGAACCAGCGACGTCCCGACTTCAAAATACGTCGTCACCAAAAATTCATGAAATGCATGTCTTGGTCCCCGAGATAAAGCCTTTGGTCTTAATTATCAGCGATCTTAGTGCAGATTTTGTGCTAAAAAAAAGATAAATCAATTTAGTACAAAAATACATCAAACCCATCTACGGATAAGTTTAGACGTAAAATGATAAATTGCAAGTACCTAAAAAACATGAAAATGCCGCGGCATCGTCTACGATTAATTTAACAGGAAAAATTGGCGGTGAGAAGGCAAGCAGAAAAGTTATAATTATACAGAGGGCCCCACTGTTCGTATCCTTACGCACCGTCGCATCCGGCAGCGGGCACGAGATAAGAAAGGAACAGATACAATGAACGATCGAAGCTGTATTAGGTGCTTTCTTAACAGTATAAACGGTTAATACAATCATGCAGGGATAATCTACTCTCTCACAAACACAAAAATAAATATAGAATATCAGCATTTAATGTAAAATGTTAATATAATAACAAACTGGGACATGTAATTTAAAGAAAAAAAAAGGATACATTAATCACTACCTGTAATTATACTTTGCAAAACAAAAGAAAGAAAGTATGACAAAATGGCTGCAAGTGTAGTAAAATTCAAAAACGGTAAGTGTTAAATTGCAAATGCAAGAAGTTAGTTTTAAATGCTTTTAACTATTGAACAGGTAACAGAGGAACTAATTAGCAAAACTAGGATTGGCAACGCAGGTATCCCCTAGTATAGGCTATAACCATGTACTGTCATACTGAATGTGAATTCCTACAGCACGTTACTCGAGCCATTGAAAAACAATAACCCATAGACAAAGCACATTCGACTGCCTGTCGAAAAAAACCCAGTTTCCAGCATCTGCACAGAACGACAGTCAAAAGATTTATCACGATTGCATGTATACAGAGCGTTTCTTGTTTTTTCCCATAGTACTAGGGTACTAGCTATACTGCTGCGTAAAGTTTGTTGTCTAACCGTAGGGGTATGTCACCAAAATTCAAATTTTAAGTAATTACCAATTTGCGACATGAAATTTAACACTGAAAATCGGACAAGAATCTCAAACCAGTGCAGAACGGTCTGGGACTTTTTCAAAAACATCGAATAGACGTTGGTATACGGTGCATGTCATAGGTCGATGGCGGTTTTTCTGCAAGGTGTGTGGCCAAATCATCGGGGTAGGTTATCACAACTGTATACAGGGTGATTCCTATAGTACCTGCCACCGTTTGGGAGCGTGTAGGTGGTGCGTAGGGGAGTATTTTATATAGGACACTTGGGGTCGGAAATCTAAAATAAGGGTGCCAGAGCCAAATTTACCTTCTGGAATTTCGCGCCTGTAGGTAGGCAACCCAACCGGCCGGCGGTGCACACCGAGCGATCTCAGGCGGCGATGTGTGGCTGACACTTGATCAGAATTTTGTTTAAACCCACGAAATCCCGTCTGCAACGACGCGTATCAAGTGAATAAACACTATGGCAATAGTATAATAATTAGTTGGCTAGATGTAGGAAGTGCATTGAGAACAACGGTGGCCACGTTGAACACTTGTAAACGTTATTGCTTTTGACTGTCGTTTTCCCTCCTTCCCTCCCATGTCCCTTCCTCGCGCTAACTCGCTCTGCATCGCTCCGCGCGAAACGTCGGTCGGTTGGGTTGCCTACATACAGGCGTGAAATTCCAGAAGATAAATTTGGTTCTGGCGCCCTTATTTTAGATTTCCAACCCCAAGTGTCCTATATCAAAATACTCCCCTAGGCACCCCCTATACGCTCCCAAACGGTGGCAGGTACTATAGGAATCACCCTGTATGTGAAAATTAATTGTATATTAAAATAAAACCACACAAAGCTACCCTGCATCAGGGCGTTAATTCACGAACCCCAAACACTAAGTTGTGATGTACCCAAGTCGACAGCTCCCGCGCTAACGAAAGCGGGAAAAACACGAACTCGGAACACCTGCGTAGTAACACAAACCTCGCACTCGACAATGGCCGGAACCCCTACGTTGTGGAAAGCCAGGTTGCACTCACTCGTACCCATGCTAATTATTGGAAAGGCGGAACGCAAATAATACGCTTAATTGAATTTGAAACACAAATAAAGTTTATTAAAGAACCGATCAAAAGTGTAAAAAATGAATCAAAAGGCCGAAAGACATCCTACAAATTTAGACAGAATACATTTAAAGCCAAAAAGTGCCAGGTTCCCCTAGAACTCGTCGGACAAAAGAACCCCGTGCTAAAGAAAATTCCGACTCACTGTTCACAGAGGTGAAATCTAGAGGGAAAATCTGGAGAATGAGAGGTAACATTGGATAACGCTAAACACATTTTACAACACAGCTACAATAGTTATACAAAGAATAATAATCCGAGTAAGTAATTCTTGAATGGTACAGATTGAAATCTGACGTTAATGCAATACAAACTTGATAAGTTAAAGGATGGCCATCACAAATAGATTTAAAAAGCACCTTCAATCCTTTCTCATGTGTGAAAGATACATTCCGAAGTCTCTTTACATAAAGTGCATAAAATAAACATCATTAATTAGCCAGACCTCCTCCAATCTAGCAGGTATCTAAGATCCTGGATACGGTAACCTTAGACTAAAGTTGTCGTTCGAAATACATGCCGCTAAGTATCTTTATCACTCCGGCATATACCTCTGCAAGGGCGAAACGGTTAATTACACTCAAAAAAGGCTGATTCGTACACAAAGAATTGAAGTCGCTAATCAATCTAAATGGGTTCAAAACAAACACATGAAAATTGATAACTGGCCAATCTTCAACAAATCAAACAGGAACCACTTTTACATGAAAGCAAATTACACCAAATTTAAGAATCACTTTACCCTGCATTACAACTAGCTGAAGGCAACATAATCTACAATATAAATCAATTACAACTAAGTACATTACCTTTCTGTTACAATGAGCAGCACCCTTGATCACCCAAAGCAAAGTGAACTCAACGACAAAAATGAACCTGTGGGAGCTCTAAAAAGCTAACTCGGCAAAAACTAAATCTATCCACCATTTCCTCCCTATACAGACTACCATTGTTATAATTGCTGACATTGAAGACTGAATACATTGTTGAATAATAAACCGATTGTTTTTTCATGGGAACGCTATTGAATTGTGGCTCGGTATCTGGCAACGGTAGCTTAAACGGTGTCTCAATATACGGTAACGGAACTTCTTGTTTGAAATTTGAAAGCAGACATCTCAAAGTCATGGCCTATCTGTTGAGCTTTATATGGCCAATCGGTTACACTGGAATTCCTAAAGCAATAACAAATATCATAATGACATGTTTCGCTCATATGTAAATGTAAAGAGTATGTCATGCAACTTTACTGATGTTTATAAAATAGTAGGCTGTGGCTACTACAGCATTCAATTTATACTTTTCTCGTAGATTCTTACAACTAAAATGTAAGCCCGAAAAACCTTAATAATATAACATTACTTGGCCTTACTGTGTATATACAATGCTGTTATACCCTGTATACGAAATGGGACTCTCGATCCACCGATTTTGACACATTTCAATTTTCAGCTGATAAAGTTAGGTTATATGGATTTCAGTTTGAGATGTAAACATTACTCGTTCGTTACGAAAATGCATATTTCTTTACTCTTCTTAAGTGAGTATCTATCTTGAATATACTTCTCTATTAAATATTTGCAGGTCTTTTATTCACCATCTCTCGAAGTGAAGTAAATGAGACAGTCGAGAGTAGTGTAGACTTGGAAAGTCCTGACGTAAATACGACACCTGCTTTACAAACTCCTCCTGTGAATAGTTCAACAGCTTCAAATGAAAGTACAGTGAAATTTGTTTCATGCCTACCTCATGTCGGTACAGCTCAAGTACACCTGGTCAACGATACAGAGTTAATTAAATATCTTTCCACCAACCCTAACATAACCAGTAAGGAAACTCCTGCCAACTGCATTGTGGTCCTATTTTATTCGAAGTACTGCCCATTCTCGAGCATGGCGGCTCCCCATTTTAATGCACTCCCAAGAGCATTTCCCACATTCAAAATGGTTGCAATAAACGCCATCTGGTATAATATATTTAATGCACAGAACGGAATTGTTGGTGTCCCGTCGTTGCTATTGTTTCATAATGGCAAGCTCGTGGCAAAGTTCAACGAATCCGAGTACACTCTCGAATTATTTTCGAGGTTTATCGCGAAGCACACGGGTGTTCACGCCGAAGATAAGTCCTTTGTAACGTCGGCAGATTTCGGGGGACCTGTGTCCAGTATTCCAACGAGGGAAGATGACATGCTGTTACTGTTATCGTGGGTGTTTATTGTACTATGTGCGGCATATTACTTTAGCAAATCTAAGTACTGGACTTGGATTGTCGAAACCGTACAGAATACATGGCGGGAGTCAGAGGCACAGGCGCTGCACGAACATGCAGATTAATTTTCTGATATTTGTTATTAATTTATTTGTTAACTTGTTTACTAGTCATTAAATCAATGGCGCCACAATAAATAAAGAAACCTGACTAATTTCTTGGAAAAAGCGAACAAGCACTGCTGATAAACCCATTGTGAATGAATAATCGTTTGTTTTGAGATAGGAAATCCCATTTTGGCGATTTGGTTTGTGAAAAGGAACTAAAATGTCCTAGATGTGGATCAAGAAAGTAAGGTAATTTCTTTTCATTTATTATTGATTAATTGAATCGAATACATAATAATTACCAATGTCTTTTATAATTCACAAAACTTGCCTGGGATATGAACGCATTATCTAATGAGGGGCCCAACAATTAAGATTAAGGCAATTATGTGTTGTGCTTAATATTTATTTATTATTTATTATCTCCCTCTTGTTCTAGGCCCTCAACAGGCTTGCGCCCAATTACAGAGTGACCCCCGCATAATGCTTTTTAGAGGTGCCTCTGCAGAAGGTCTTAAGTTGTTCTATACTACTCCGATATTTACCTTACGAATTAGGAAAACTGCAGGAAAACCTAATTCGGAGTAGCCGGCAGAATGCTCGAAAGTGGTCTAAGGTAATTTCCATCTCTGTCACAGATGAAAAATTCACCCCAACCCAGGTTCGAACACCCAACCTCCGGATTTATAACTCAACGCTCTACCATTGAGCCATAATGCCGGTACATTACTTTGTTTCACCTAAATTGTAGCCTATGCAAAATTATGTTTCCCACAAACGTTGTTTATTATTAGTATATTTGTGGCATTATCGCACATATTGCACGTAACATCCTTGAATGTGGTATGATTTAAGATATGCTGCCTTAAGTTAGGCTTATCGTGATTAGTGTAATTACACTGATCACAAATAAGAAGGTTGTGGGTTAATTAGTGACGATTTAAGCGAACGCTACTAATTATAGCGTAATTACAACAGCAGCTGAAGTTATTCAAAGAGGAGTGTGTCAAAAATGACGTAATATTCTTTTTTTTTGTGTAATTACACTGTTCACAATTAAAGACTTTGAAAATATTACGTTATTCGTTAAATGATGATTCTTTAAATTATCCTTATTGTTAGTTTAAGAATTGTGAGCTCAATTTAAATCCTTGGAAGTCTTGTATGTCAGCAGATGCACATTTAAATTTGACTTTCTCTTGGGTGAGTAATCGCAATGAGCACATTTTAACTTCTTGAAAGTCTTATGTGATAACAGATGTCTTTTAAAATAAGCATTGCTGTTGGTTGAAAAGCCACACCAAACACATTTGAAATCTTTGGGCTTATCTTCGCATGAATCGTGTATTAACAAATGTCTTTTTAAATGAGATTTGCTATTGGTGGTATAATCGCACAGGACACAATTTGAAACTTTATGTGCTAACAATTGTTCTTTTAAATAGGATTTTTTATTTGTTGCATAATCCCACTGGGCACACTTGAAATCATTGGAATGCTTGTGTCTTAACATATCTCTTAAAACAGTATTTGTAATTGGTTGCATAATTACACTTATCGCGTTTATAATAGGTACTCGGAAGTGTGCGTTATCAAATTATATTTATCCTTGATCCTAATTACATCGATTGCAAATGAACTGCAAGTGTATTTACTTTTACAGCCGTAAAAACTGCAATGTTGATTACTTTTGGTCATTGTAAATAAACAAAATGGCGGTCTTATACCGCCAATATGTACTATTGACATTGTGTTGCCACCAGAGGTCTCATGAGTCGTGAATAGAATCCTTTGATAGAATCATCATACGTCACAATTTGTGAATGTGCCTTAGCAATAATACCGGGATGCGGACGGTCGACACAACAAATCCAAACAGTTAAATTAGCCACTTCCTTGGTTAAAATGGCGTTTGTTATTTAACTTTGCAACATGAAGTTATTTATAAAGGAAATTAGCAACAAGAAAGGTGCCGTATTTTAAATTTGAAATTACTGGGTTATTTGTTTACAACTTATGTAAAATCATTAACCATTACATTCCTCCAAAAAAAGACATCGGTTTTATCTTGGGCGTGATTAATTCGTAATTTCTGCAGAAAGCATGGGCACTTTACAATTACACTGCCCACTTTGTTGTACAGAAACGTTTTCATGTCATAACTCCTTAAAGTATCATTTGTTAAGCATATCCGATAATTTAATATGTCCGGCGTGCGGCAAACGATTTGAACGAATCTTCGATCTTGCCATGCACCTCGGTAACCAGTGCGTGGATCCATTAGTGCCCGAAGAACCCGAACATGCCGATGAGACGCCCGAACGGTTTAGTCCGATCTGCGTGAAGGTCGAAGCGGACGATTTGACGGACACTGTAACAAGCAGTATATTGGCGAGGGCACTTACCAAAGATACGAGTGCGATTCAACAGCAAAACGAAGAGGAGGTCTCGGAGAATGAGGATCTCTACGTGTGTTCAACTTGTGATATACAGTTCAATTCGATCGAGGATCACGTTAGGGAGTTTCATGACGGACACGAAGTTTACTTGCAGGTTAGTTCGATCTGCATTAAATTAATTGTGACAAATTTCACAACAAATGTTTGCCAAACCAATTCAATTGTTTGGCAACACTGCATTTTTTCGGCACTCTTGATTGTCATACATACCTATACACAAATCCACTGTCACATTTTAATTCACTAATGGCCGTTTGCACCGCCAAAGTTAAGCTTAAGCGTAGCTTAACATCCATGGCAGCGATTATTGAGACAATGGTTGGATTAAGCTTAGCTCTGCTTAAATTTGTCGGTGCAAACGGCCATAAATAGAATTAGATGGGAAGGGGTGCAGTTTGAAATTGGCACCATGAGATTTATAGTCGAATGACTGTTTGCACTGACAAATTTAAGCGGGGCTTAGCTTAAGCGTACCTTAGAATCCATGACAACAATTGTCTCAATAATCGTACGCGTAACCTAAGCTGTGCTTAAATTTGTCGGTGCAAACGGGCATAAGAGCTAGGGGCACATTTTTTTAAACCGTTTTATTATTGTTGATATTTGAATGTATATGTTAATCATATATCCGAGCGTCTGGCAGCAATTTCGCGGATGGCGCAGCTGTGGTGGGTGGCCAAAGAGGGTCTCGAGGGGGGTTAAAAATTTGAAAATTCAAACAGTTTTATTATTAGTGAACCTTTTTTATGAATTAGTTTTTTAATTACTTTCGTTGATTTGCCGGACCAATAATCCTCTTCGTACCTACATGTTGGCAGTGAAAGTTTCCATTATTCTATGTATAAAAAAAAAATCGTTCGCGTCCGAGGTTCGAACCCGCGGCGTCGCGTTCAAAGCCGGCGTTCTAGTCACGTGCGCCAATCGGACGGCATTAATGGCGTCTTTCAGAGTCTACGTACCGCAAAAGTTGTCTTGCATAATTATTTATCATGTTAGTACATTCATATAAATAATAAAGCAAGGTTCATTAACAATGAAACTGTTTGAATTTTCAAAATCTTCGATCACCCATCACCGCTGCGCCATCCGCGAAATTACCGCCACTCGCTCGGATATGTTATTAGCATTACATCTTATACCAAAATATCAACAATAATAAAACTGTTTAAAAAATGTACCACTAGCTCTCCTACTATTACAACTTTGTTTTATTTAACATTTAATGATCGTTGCAGAGTGACAAGGATGAAGCGAGTGTCGAACCTGATAATTCTTGTTTACTCCTAGTAAGCGCCGATAATGGTAAAGAGGTAGAAGAAAATATGGTCATTGCAGATCACGTGAGTAGGGCTGGTTTAACGTGCACCCCGAAACTGGTAAAAATCGAGAAATTTTGGAACGGTAAAGTCGGTGAAGATGACACGCAAGCGGTGGAGGACGATGCCGAATCGGACGGTGATGGCTCAGTGATGGAAATTTACGAATGTGTGAGGTGCTCGTTGACATTTCGCACCGAGGAATATTTCAACAAGCATAAGTGTAAAAGTTCGAACTTCGTCATCAGAAAGTGTACCGTGTGCGATGCAAGTTTTACGACCGTTAAATCGTTAAACGCGCACATGAAAACCCACGCGCTTGGAGAGAATCCCAATCCGCCGTTCGTATGTGAAGTGTGCAACACCGAATTTCCGTTGTTTAAGTCGTTGCGTTTGCACAGGCGAATGCATGATCCCATTAAGTCGAAAAACATCGAACCTCCCGTTAATTACAGTTTGGAGGGTGAGGAAGTGGAAGAGGCGGCAAGGGAAAAGTTTGTATGCCCGGTATGTTTTTCATGGTTCTATCGTAGATAAAGAATAAGATAGTGAGACAACCTCATCACATTTTTTGGGAATTGCAAATTTAAGATTATTAGTCATCGATATTGCTATGTCCAATGGCATGCAGTCACTACGCCATCCACAAAACATCTGTCTAGCTATAGCTCAAAACCTATTAAAAATAGAAACCTGTTAAACGAATAGGAAAAAACTATCTGGTTCACATTTTGGATTCGAATCGAGATTCAAATAAACACACAATTAATTGATTGACAATTCCAAAAAATTATTCCGAAACACATGAAAAATTTAAAACAGAATCCCTGAAAGAAAACAAAGGTAATAAAAGCCTCTTTGGAGATATTACCCCGCACGTATACGGTCTACTAGCCAGATGGCAGCCTCCTACAGTTTGTAACATTCTTTTGTTACCAATTGGAAATCCTGATTAAGTAACTATGTGAATTGTGCTCTTATTCAGTATTCTTACCCCATTAGGTATCTTCTTTGTAATCCACTAGTTATAGATGTAAGTTTATTCCTGTAGTAAATTTTCTCTTTCTCTTGATATCTGTGGTTGCTCCATTGAAACGTTTTGCAGATTTGTATTTGCATTTGAATACGAGGTATGTTAAATTATTACGCAGCATTGTTCTCAGTACGTATATTTTTTTAGGGCTTTTACCATCACTCAATACCTAACCCTCAAGTTTAACTTCTTTCACAGTTTTCTTATCGTTTTTTTTATTACCTTTTCTGTTGATCTACCGTAATTTTACTTACGACCCACGCAGTACAATATTTTTATTTGGACCCGCGATCTTATCAATCCAAGAACGACGCGGTGGATGAGTTTCTACATTACCGGCAGAGTCCTCACCATTTCGGTGAAACCAAACACTGTGACCTACTTACATGAGAGTTTTCTACACCTGGAGATTTCAAGATAGTTCCCATAATTGCAAGTATTAACGAACCGTTGGAGACGAGGTTTGAGATTTACACCTCACACCTCAGGGTAAAGAGGTTTTTGATTATAATAATAATAATTTCCTAAGAAACGCGACTGTGTATCTCTTATATGGTTCCTGATTTTAGAGGAGTGACGCGTGCCCTCCCGCAAAATCAGTCTCCCTTTATTTCTCACTATCATTATCCCTGATGCAACTAACAATTAAGAAAATAGTAGAATCCTTGGTTACTTCCATAAACCCCTTCAATTAAACTTTCACTTTTATTGGTTAGTTGTTAAATCATTATGTACTGTGGTGTATCAATCCTATAATTATTTTTACCATAGATATGTTCCAAAGAGTACGACAAGGAATACGCGGAAGCGCATAAGAAGTTTCATAGTGAGGAAAAGGATTACAATTGCGAAATTTGCAACCGCAAATTCTTCTCGCAGGAAAACTTGGACATGCACATGCACGCCCACGCAGAAGTAAAGAAATTTACGTGTTCGTACTGCAAGAAAGGTTTCTTAAGTAGCGACAAATTGGAAGCGCATATGTCCGCCCAATGTCAAATGAGGCAATACGAGTGTCAATATTGCGGGAGGCGTTTTTCCCGTCCGCACGAAAAGGTCAAACATGAACGAATACACACCGGGGAAAAGCCGCACAAGTGCGAAATTTGCGGTAAAGCGTTTCGCGTCAGCTATTGCTTAACGCTTCACATGCGTACTCATTCTGGAATTCGACCGTATAAGTGCGATCACTGCGGTAAGCGTTTTAAGGCGCATAGCGTCTACAATCATCATTTACTCACACATTCAGAAGACAGAAAGTATAAATGCCCTTTTTGTCCTAAAACTTTTAAGACGGGTGTACAACTAGCAGGGCATAAAAATAGTCACACGAAACCTTTCACTTGTACGGAATGTAACCGACCCTTCGCGTCTTTGTACGCGGTTCGATCGCACATGGCCACCCATAAAAGGCAAAATAACCTCAAATTTAAATGTTGGTTGTGCGGAGCGTCGTATGCACGTTCGTTCGCTTTGCGTGACCACATTAAAGAGCAACACTACGAAAACGCAAAGGAAGCCGCCCAATTAGGAAGCTTAGATTTTGCAATAACCGAAACAATTGAAACGGGAGAGGCCGTTTTAACGGACGGTGATGAAACCATGTTAATCGATATGCCGGGCGGAGAAGATGTTAATAGTATAGAAATTTCTGGAGTTGCAATAACTCTTTCGGATAATAATTGATTTTAGGGATAAGTAAGTTACATGATATATTAAGCTATAAGTAGATGTCAGCAAATGTAAATATATTCTCAGTTTATTATAATGTTCTTTCTTATAAAGGTAATAAAATGAATAAAGCGATTTAATTAATTAATAGTAATTTGAATATAACATTGCAATCATTTTAGGAGTCCCGAACCCAGCACTGGAACTTTTACTAAAACCTCTATGTGGAAATGACGGACGTTTCGCACCACTTTTAAATAAAATTTCAGTAAATTTTTTAGTGGATTTAATGGTATGAATACCTTACATTGTGTTATACTATGCGGGAGACGTCATTGGGAAGGGAAGTTTACACACGGTGCAAACGAAGACTGAAAACCAGGAAATAATGAACTGGTAAGAAAAAAACCGACACACATAGACATAAATAAGAAATAACATGAGAAAAGAGAGATACAAAAGCAAACATCTGAAATGATATACAATGACAAATCGGACAATCGAGGATGCAAGCATCACACAAACAGGCCCACATACTAAACAAAAGAATTATTAAATTAAATTAGTGGAACCTCTTCTTGTATTGGTAAGGCCTAGGTTAAGGCACAAGATCAGAAATGAACGAACAGGTACAGCAAATTGAAACTGTGCTTTCTCAATGGTTAGTCGAATAATGCAGAGTAATACACTGTAAAAATAATATGTTTAACGTCCTTGGTGCCAACGTATGTGAGAGAGATAGCTAACAATAGAACACTGACCTTTCCTGATTCATTTCAGTGGCGTTATAAATATAATAAAGGGATTTACGCTGATATTTCAGTAGAAAATACGAGTAGCTTTTACGAAAGAAATAATTAAAATGCTGGTTAAAGACCATGTAATGAAAACATAAATTGAGCAAGCATTTACACGAAAAATGAAAGCGATTTCAAACAATAGGTAAAAGTTAACGGTGTAAAACACGTGATTCTCCATTGAGATTAAATCAAGTCAGTCAATTTCGAAAACAAACCTGAAAGATTATAAAGAATTATAATATCTTGCATACAAAATAACACATAATTTACATTAATATACTTAACACAAAAATAACAACAAACAAACTATACTTATAATCAGAGGTGGGTACCTATTTCGAATGAATTTATTTGAAATACGTATTTAAAATAGAAAATGCCATTTTATATTTTGTATTTTAAATACTGTAGATAAAATCATTTTCTATTTGAAATAAATCAGTATAACTATTTTCTATTTAAAATAACGTAGTATACAGGGTGATTCCTATAGTACCTGCCACCGTTTGGGAGCGTATAGGGGGTGCCTAGGGGAGTATTTTGATATAGGACACTTGGGGTCGGAAATCTAAAATAAGGGCGCCAGAACCAAATTTATCTTCTGGAATTTCACGCCTGTATGTAGGCAACCCAACCGACCGACGTTTCGCGCGGAGCGATGCAGAGCGAGTTAGCGCGAGGAAGCGACATGGGAGGGAAGGAGGGAAAACGACAGTCAAAAGCAATAACGTTTACAAGTGTTCAACGTGGCCACCGTTGTTCTCAATGCACTTCCTACATCTAGCCAACTATTATTATACTATTGCCATAGTGTTTATTCACTTGATACGCGTCGTTGCAGACGGGATTTCGTGGGTTTAAACAAAATTCTGATCAAGTGTCAGCCACACATCGCCGCCTGAGATCGCTCCGTGTGCACCGCCGGCCGGTTGGGTTGCCTACCTACAGGCGCGAAATTCCAGAAGGTAAATTTGGCTCTGGCACCCTTATTTTAGATTCCGACCCCAAGTGTCCTATATCAAAATACTCCCCTACGCACCACCTACACGCTCCCAAACGGTGGCAGGTACTATAGGAATCACCCTGTATGTATCAAATTTCGTTTACATTCTTCCATAAATAAAAAAGTTGGCACTGCGCATGCGCAAAACCAAATTTTGAAATTGGCGTTTGATTTTCCTTTATTCGAAGTGCTTATGTATCAAATTTCTTTTAATTCTTCCATAAATAAAAAAGTTGGCACTGCGCATGCTATAACGTGAGGTTAGTTCGGCGCTGTAAAACTCAAACCCCGCCGCATAAACGGCCAGCTAGCTCAGATTCTTAATTAAAAGAAGGGCTCGAGATGAGAATCTTCCACAGCGGTTTGTTCGTTTGGGCATATAACATAAGTTTTTGATCTTTGGTAGTCACTAGAAATGATTAGTTGAGCGCCACCCAATTTTGCACAAATTCTGACCTCTCCTGTATAGAAATTGGGAAAACACAAGAGAGCCAAATAATAAATTCACTACGAGCAATTCTGATTTATTAATCCTGACAAAACGGTGCAGGATCGGCAAATAAAATGTATCTTCAATACGACAATAACAAATACTTTAAATGACAAAAATAATCCCCAAATAAATTCCTGAACACTTCCCTAATAATTACGTTACCAGCCCCCTACAACAATGATCGAGCAAAAATGTAGTTAAGCTTTCAATGGATTCAAAGATTGAATTAAGTTAACCCGAATAACAACTCATATAGGCAACACTGGGTACAAGTAAATTAAAAATCTTACCTTGAATAACACATACGCTGTCTTCTCCGAAAAAGAGCTCTCCTTCGAAGTTCCAGTTCTGTAACACAAAAACAAACCCCAAGCTACAACGCTCGGAACGATTATATGAGCCGGAAGGGCCAAAAATAGCTTACTCGTAGCCGGCTCGTTTACCCATACGTTAAATACAGGTGCGTTGCTCTTGAAGAGAGTCACGACCTCAAACACTTGATGCGAACAAAATACAAAGCTCCGATCATAAATCGTCGGAAGGTTACACTAGATTAACGGTATTGAAGCAAATAAAAAAAAGGTTGTGTAAAAGATCGTATCTTCCGAAAATTCCACCATCAGCTGGTCGCTCCCGGTATCGTTTAGGTGTTAGCGCTTATCTACTCGGTGGTACGCCGGATAGCTGCCGGCAATCAACAGGTGTTCGTACTCCGGAATATTCGCAAGATGCAAATTCATTTACCTACAAGGATTCGTCTGTACAAGGATTGACCTACTACATGGATTGACCGGTACAAGGATTGGTCTACTACATGGATTGATCGGTACAAGAATTCGTCTACTACATGGATTGACCGGTACAAGAATTCGTCTACTACATGGACCCCCTAAAAGTAATGAAGATGTAACACTCCCTTAACGAGATTTTTAATAACATACCTGAAATCGTCAGGAGGGTAATGAAAAATACTTAAATCAATGAAATATGGAAATTATCCAAGAGGTTGTGAATATGTAGGTAGGGCGATGAACTTCCACCAGATATAGCCTCACAACGGAGAAAACGGCTTCTGAGTTACTCTACTCGACAACGCCAATAAACAGGTAAAATTGCCAGAGATTTTACGTGAATGATGGCAAATATTACCCACTGGTTTTAGAAGAATTCACAATGCCACGCTCTACAAGTACAACCTCGTTGGCTTTAAAACGGAAATGAAGTGAAAAAATTACGCGATTCTGCGCGAGGAAAGAAGCACGCGTACAAGTGACGCCATCTCACCTATATCCTGCCTAACGTAGCAAGCGGTAATTTTGAAATTTGAATATAAATAAACTAAACTGTTACACCCCCCCTCTCCTTCGACAGGAGGGAAACTAAAGTTTTCCGACGATCGAAAAACCCAGCACACACACTCGAAAAGGAAGCAAACAAATTGAAAACCCGAAAACCCACCCCAGTGTAAAAAAAACTCCCCCCCCAAAGAATTTCACCTTCAAAGAATTTTCCCAGGTTCTCCAGCAGCGGAAAAGGTATGCAAAATCGGGTATTGACATGCCCTCGCGTAAAGATGGAATCTCGCGCCGTCGGGTATCATGACAATAGCAACCCCTTTCCCACAACCCCAATCCAACTACTAGTCACCCCCAAGAAAACCAAATCCAGTGCCCACCCAGAAGAAAGAAACCCTACAGTTTCAAGTGATGCAGCACCAAAATCCCCAAAATAAAGAAACCCCCCTCCCTGACTAAAAACGACACAAAAGCCCAAATTTTGACCCCCTTGCCGAAAAAGTGTAGAAGGAAACCCCCAAAAAGAAGGTACCTTTCCAACCCAACTCCACCATGCACTAGCGCAATGAAATGAAGAAGGTGCTATGGATAGAAGACAGTAAGAGAGAAAGAAGAAATCACATTTGCGGAGAAAAAAAAACTCATTCATGCCGATTCCAGGGGTCCCATGGTCACCGAGGCTCGCACAGGGAAGGCGCACCCACCCCCTTCCTCTTGTGTGTCAACTACCCATCCATTCAAACATTCATTCATTCTATGGAACGGAAATGGAAGAAAGAAGAGTAGAAAAAGATAGAATATAGGAAACCGAAAAGAAAAGGGCAACCTCTCCCAAATTTCCCCTGAGGAAATTAGAAGAAGAAAAGTGTTTGAGGTGCAGATAGAAAAAGAAAGAAGGAGGATAATGGATCGGGACGAATCCCCTAGCAGGTGTTGTTGCTACGATCCGAGAGTCCATCCCCTGTGCCCAACCAAACCACCCAAAGAGTAAGAAGAAGAAGAAATATGGAACATATAACATATAAATACATATATCAAAGTCAAATCCAAGAATAAGAATACGTCAAAATTAGTGGTTCAAAATCGTCAACAAACAAGCAATCCGGCGACAATAAATGTCTAACCATGATCATCGGGTTCAATATAAGGTTTGAGATCCTGGACGTGCCACGTTCCAGAAGATTTACCATTAGAATCTTTCAACTCATAGGTCAAATACCCCATTTTACGGCTAACCGTAAATGGTCCTAAAAATCTGGGAGCTAACTTCGCTGAATAATCTTTAGTGGCATCAGACAAAGTCTTATTTTTACGCCAAACCAAATCTCCTATCTCATAGTTAACATGCCTACGTCGTAAGTCATAATGTTGCTTGTTGCGGTCATGACTGTCTTTAATGCGTGCAATAATTTTGTCGTACAGTCCTTGCTGTTGCGCTAACCGTTGTTCTACGTCAATCGGCTCATTGTCCGTCATGTCAGTGTCGAAGCTGTCCCCTCGAATACGAAATTCTTTCCCAAAATTAGCACGATAGGGAGTCACACCTATGGTTTCGTG